TATATAACCTTTACAGAGTTGGTGCGACGTAAAACCCAACCAAGAGAAAATATTAAAAAATATCTTATTGCCGCATATAATTATAAAGAATAATAGTATAGAAAAATGGATGAAATTCAAATCTTGAGCAGCCGATATTTTAAAAGACGACAATTCCGGTGAGAAATTTAAATCAAATAATGTTAGATATCTACTTAAGAGTTCAAAATATTCAACTGACAAAATAGCGAAGGTATCCTTTTAATAAAACATATAGGGACAGTCTTCAAATAGGTTCAACATTTCGTAAGAAAGATTTAAAGATTTTTTGAGCGTGTGGTGTGAACTTGGCATATTTAATCTCGCAAAATTGTGTCAACCATTATTGTAGTTTACTTACCGATTATGGTAAAGGACTCTAATCACCGCCATATTTTGTAAATATATTTTTGTCTTTTTTAGAAGAAATAAAGAAAAAAGTACACAACAATATATAAGCTTGAGTGCAATAAAATTTTATTTTGTTTCTTTGCATTTCTTACAGTCATCTACATGTACATGTATCAACTGAGATCCTCATTCATTTTTAAGGCAATTTAACATCGGAAACTTAATCAAATCTCCCAAAACCCATTCCGTACTTGCAAATATTATATCAACGGCACCCTATCAAGTTTAAACGTATGCGCTATAAACTTAATACGTACGTTTTTAGTTTGAAATATTACGAGTAAGAAGTTTAATTCTTTATCTTGCTCCTTTTATTGTTTTTTTCTCATAATTGTGTCTTATTTTTGTGAATACATGTATCAAAATAATTTTTCAAAAGAGCTAACCAATATAGTAATATAGATGACAATGAAAAGGTTTGGAAATACTTGCCATTGTAATATCCAGATCAAAGTGGCAAGCACATACTATCAGTGTCACAATTAAAGAACAAAGCGCAATAATAAAATGTAAGTATGTTTGACAAAAAACCAAGGCTACACATCATTGTGAAAATATTAAGAACAAAAACAAAATATTTTTGGTAAACAATATACTCTTAACAACATTTCTAATTGGTCTCTTCTTAAATTGCCATTAATGTTCAGAAAAGTCAGTACACTGGGCAATGGTTATACATTTTAACAACCTCTGCATCTCATAACAGTGACGGTAGATTTTGTTAAGAAATATTGTAATTATGTAGTGTAGCATTAAGTTTCTTTTTCTTCATAAAGTAACTGTTCACAAACATGTTAATCATATATTGTTTAATAGCATATAAACGTTTAGGTTGGCTAAAAACTAAATTCTATAGCTCAGGTAACGATGCATGGTCCTTGAAGACATTTACAAGTCAATTACCAGAATCTAGTTCGGTTTAACGTGTCGATTTTCTATATGATAATGGCCCTTAATTGTAGCGGAGGTGTTGTCTTTACGGACTGAGGCATCAGAATTCAGCCACCGTGTCACCGTGCATGATCGTAAGAGGCGACTAAATAGGTCAAAATTATCTCTTAGCTCCAGCAGGTGAGGTGGTTATGACTCCTGATGTTGCTTTTAATTTGTAACACCCGAGGTAAGTCAATATCATCTTTCCTGTTTCGGCGCCATTATGACCTTAATTGTGTTGGTGCACCGTAAATCCAAACAAAAACAAAAAACAGGTTTAACTATATATGTTTTGAAATGTTATTTGTCATCCATTTATCAGCTCCTTAAATCATTTGATATCTCTTATTAAATGCCTGACAACTTCAACTCGATATTTGTGTTACCATGGTTACGATTGTTACGGCCGAGTAATGTCATTTCTGTCATTGAGGTTAGTATTACTAGCGAGTAGGTCCTCCGAGGAATTTTGATACTGGCTGCAACAGAATAACACATTCTGGCAAGTTTCCAGGTTTATGAATCCATACAAAAACGGGTTAACACATGGATTGATATATGCTATAATCAAAGTCCAAGTGAGTACATATGATGGTAAACTGTTGTTTCTGTAAGAAACGTCATGGTGTAACATTCCCAAAACTACAAACAGCGGCAGCCACATGATGACAAACACCAGCACTAGTAGAATAAGTGTCTTCACCATTTTTATATCCTTGTTTCTTCTTGCAATTGCCACTCTTTGGCTCCTTGTCTGAATATGGCATAAAGCACCAACTGCTTTCTTTGAGGACCAAAATTTCCGGAATATTTGATAGTAGTTAAAGGTGATCACAGTCATTGGCATGAAGAAGGCAAACAATACCAACATTGCCATAAAGAACGCGGAATAATGAATTCTTCCTCGTGGCCATAGCAACGAGCATATTGTTGCCATTTCTTCACCAACTTCTATGTCTTTGAGGTGAAAGAAAAGAGCTAATGGGAGGAAACAACATGCACTGACAATCCAAATACATAAGCAAATCAAAACAACATGGCCTGTTCGTATTCTATTCACCATCCCTTTGTTGATGCAAAGGTACCTGTCCACGCTAATCACCGCCATTGTCCAAATCATTGCAATGGCGCACACAAACATCCCATAAGTCAACAGATGACACATACCGTCTCCAAGACGCCACGTGCCTGTGATTCTGACGTAAGCAACAAATGGTGCAGCTGTAGCGAACAAAATGTCGCCAATGGCAAGATTGCATACAAAGTAGTTGGTTATGGTTCTCGAACTTCTTGTCTTGAACATAATCCCAAGAATGAAGAAGTTTCCGATAACAGACATTACGAACAATGTTGTCATGATTGTTGCCTCAATATAAGCAGCCCCTTTCCAGGGTCTGTTAAACTCACTAAAATATGTAAAATATGTTACGTTCCCAAGTCCAAACATGGTATCCGTGGCAATGAAATAAGATCTGTTAGCTTGAGAGCCACCTGTCACCATCTTCAAATGATAATTTGATCACTTGTAAAGTTAAATAATAAAAACACAACCAAATTATGACTTATTTATTTGTAACTTGGTTAAAGCGATAATTCATTGGAAAAAAACCCATAAAGCAGATGTAACAGAATTTCCTACAGGCGAGCTGAAATAATCAGTTATGATGTGTTTTGTCATTTGTCAACAACGGTTATTATTTATTGGAGGTATCAGGATTTCCGCCTTCTTCGTTGAAGAGTTCTGATAAAGAAACACTATCAGTAAATTAAAGATACCGTACAACCTCGAGCAATTTGATTAAATCTAAACTTTGTCATGACTGTTGCCTGAAATAAAGTGCGTGCATATTAAAATGATAAACAAAAGATAAAAAAAAAATGAGAACTCAATATTTACACCAGGACGATACAATATCTTAATTTCCATGAATATGAATTTGTTAAAATGGATGCACACCGGATACTCATTAATTATACTCCAAGTTCGATAATTTATTTTAAATTAACACATGTAAAACATGTAGGGAGTTGAGGTTGTAGCTTTCACAAGTTCCTTTCTCATAAAACAGAGTTCAAGTTCATATCGTATGCAACATGTAGTGCAATCCTGTACAATCTTATCGTTTTCGCTCCATTACTCTGCGTTTCCTAGCGTTACCTAACGAAAGGTAATGGAGAGTCAATAAGGTTATGATTTATTTTGCTCGCCGCGTCCAGAGGATGATACTCTGAGATTTGGCTAGTACGTGAAATCCGACGGCGACGTCGATATCAACTTACGTTTCTTAGAGATAATGACGTATGACTTCTGGAAAACTAGTATGCCAATCCTGCTCTGGAACATTGACCTTTGAGGAATTTTTCGAGCGACTCTAGTAAAAAACATTTTGGATCCACGCCTGTACGGTACAAGTATTACAAAACAAAATGAGAATAACAACCGTGTTTTAAATAGACACATTGTGGCGCCGTTATATGTCGCAATGCCGCTTAATGTCGTACTTACCGCTAAATGTCGCAACCGCCGCTAAATGTCGCAAATCGTCTGCCGTTAAATGTCGCAATGGTAACGTCAAATGTCGCACGATTTTCCCTTACCGTTAAATGTCGCAACACTACCGTTAAATGTCGCAAAATTTTAATTCATGTTAAACAAGTAGCTGGTGGTATTATGTTAATATAATTACCATTATGTATGTAATCTGGCGACAAATTATCTGTCATGTAGGAACTGCTTTGCTGTAGTATTTAAATAAATTGGTTGAAATGAAGTCATCTTAGTCGGTATTATAAATTGACGACCATAATTTATCCAAAAAGCCCCTTGGTGATTAAACACATTTTTATTACGTTTTTGTCTCCCGCCTTTTTGAAGAAAAAGAGGGATACATAAAAAGGCTACGTCCGTCTGTCCGCTCCTTAACTCAGCCGTTCATCAAGGGATTTTGAAATAACATATGTTCACCAAATTAGGACGACCTGTCATGCGAAACAACCAGACCTCCACGGTGGTCCCACTTGGAGATCAGAGGTCAACATTGTCTGATGGAGGGTACAATTCGTGTCGGGTTTATAACTTTTAAGTCCATCAAGGTATTTGAAATAACTTGGCACAAATGCTCACTATCTAAGACAACGTGCTTGCGAGACAATGGTCACAGTCAACATTGTTTTATGGGGAGTATATTTCTTGTCCAATCCTTACCGTTTTCATCTATAAAGGGATTTTGAAATGATATATCACACATGTTTATCATAATAGGACCACATGTCATACACAACACTCAGAATCCTACTTCCAAGGTCAAGGTCACACTAAAAGGTCAAAACTTAAAGTGGTCTGTTATAATGCCTTTTTGTGTCAGATCCACAACATTTTCACTCATCAAAGTATTTTGAGTTTGCACAATATTCACCATATCAAGATAATGAGTCATGCGCGACACTCCGACCTCTAACAAGGTCAAGGTCACACTAAGAGATCAAAGCTAAACATGTTCTGTATTTTCCTTGTCCAGAGAAAATCTCCGAAAGTATTAGAGATTCCAGTGAAACTTAAAATATGCACTGTAACTCCATCTTGAATATATTTTAATTGTTTCCCTGTATGTACTTATTTTCAGTGACACAAACTCCTCAAATGTATTTCTATTGACACATACACAGGAGTTATTTCATTATATTTCTATGATGAATTTATTGTTGTCTGTGCATTTACTGAAACTCAAACTGTCAAAATCATACTATTGCGTGCTTCATGTAAAACTTCCGGGGCACTTGGTAACTCTGTTTTTATAGGTATTATACTATAGGTATTATCATATTGTTTCAATCAGATTACAGTTTTATAAAATCCATTGATGCAAAAATCTGATTAGTCTTGGGCTTTTTTCCTTTCTTTCTTTTTCTTTCATTACCAGTAAAAATGTGTTTCATGAGAAGTTTATGCTTTTGAACTTCGCCACATAAATCATCAAGATATGCAAGGGACGATAAATGATAGATACTTTCCTTATTGGCCTAACCTGGCGAGCTGATACAATACTATATACAATACAATATAATACTTAAGTGTCAAAAATGATATCTTTTGATACTAGCAACTTTGGTTTACGATTGTTTTGCAACTGGCAACAAATCATGTAATTGGAAACTGTTGCGCGTTTAGAAATCAGCCATGTGCCACACGGCCAAATTCAATCGAAATTTTCGGCGGTTTTAGCAATACTAATTCTAGCAAGTCAACGAAAAGGTACGGTTGTTACAACCGGTTTTGCAATAAAACGAGTTTTGCAATAATTTATTGCAAAACTCATTGTGATGACATACTTTTGTTGCAAGTTTTTCACAACCAGTTTTGCAATAAATTATTATTATATTTATCTTTTTATATAAGGATTGACATACAGTGAGTTCTTTCATTAAATTTGTATATATGATTATACATTAATTTCCAGTTTAGAATTTATTTATAATGGCAAAATAGATGATATTTGAATGTGTTTTGTATTAAACATCAGCACACACAGCGAACACTTTGGCTGATATACATATTTGATCGTGTAACAATGCCGAAACTTACAAATACTTTTCAGAAGTTACGTATTTACAACATTATTGCAAAACTCGTTGCGATGACATAATTTTGTAGCATTTTTTTCACAACCAGTTTTGCAATTAAAACGAGTTTTGAAATAAATTATTCTTATATCAGATTTGATATGAAGATTATGCTCTAAATATTATTATCTTTAAATATCTTTTTTATGATTTTAAGGGATTTTATATTTCAATTATTAAAGTATATATGATTTAATACCAATTTCCATTCTCAAATCATATATTCATGATTGCAAAATATTTGATAATTGAATGATTTTTATTACATATCAGCACAATTTTATTATCAATAACCATTGTATTTTCTGCAAAAGTTTTGGCTCAAAACTCGGTGAATTGCATATTTGATCTTGTAACAGTGTCGGAAGTTACAAGTACTTCGTGGCATTATATTACCAATAACGTTATTGTTGAAAATGTTGTTAAAATTCGACAATGTATATAAAGGGTTTTAATGGGTTATTATAGAAGTATCTTGAACTATAAACATGGATATTAATGGTTCGTAAGAGTTACTTCTCCTACCGAATACAATACCAGATAAAATAATGGCAATTTTGACATACTTCCGTTCATTTCAGTTAGTGTATCGATGTATGTATTTATTGGGAATATCAAAATTTATCATTATCTTATTTGCCCTGCCATTAGAGAAATAGTTAACTATTCAACAATTATCACTTTTACATTTCGCTAATTTTTGTATCTTCTTCCATAAATAACAATGCCATTCATCTTCCTCTATTAACATTTAAAGGTTCTTCATTATGATAATGCATATTAATGTTCGCTTATAAATTATTGGCAAATTACATACCAACTGTTGCTTTTTATCCGAACGTTTTAATGTCACCAAAATGTCATTGGTATGATACTTTTAGTTATTCAACCCTAGTCATACCATACAGACGGAAAATGAAACTAATAACATAAAAACTAACATCAAAAACAATTAGTTACATAGCAATAGCAAAAATAACACAACCAAAAACAACAAATTCGTAACTTTCCTCCAGATACTGGTAAATAGATAAAATTGAATATTTTGTACAGTTTGTATTCCTGTTTATTTCATATCGTTACCTAACACACATTTTTTTACAATCACAATCTTGTGTTCCGACAGTGAGGCAAAGAAATTTGACGTGTTTTATAAACAATTATTGGCCGAATTTGGTAATAAGTGAGAAGTACAAATATAATTCTGTGCACAAGCATTTGACTTAAAAGTAATGTTTACGAACTGTAAATATGTAATAGTAAAAAAGAGTAGTCAACTACAATTCTTTAACAACATCCCTTTCATGAACCAACATTTCGGCTAAACAGCATTTTTCAGAGTACATAAATACATTATAAATAATAAACAAGAACAGTATGTCAGCGTCAGATGACGTAAATAGCGAAGACGACAAAAGATAAAAAGACTATGTCGTAATTATCATAGACAGGATCAAGTTGATGCGATATACTTTTGAAAAAAGCAGTAAAAGTGCAAAAGAAAGTAAAAACACCCGTAAAACTGACTAAGATTGTACAAAATAACCCAAAGGAAAATGAATATAAACAGATCCTGTTTATTGCATAATTTCGTTATACAAAGTATTTTAAATAAATAGCACCTAGACCAAAAAGTATTGATAAGAATCATTAAAGACATTTAAAATTGAATAATCTCCTACGTGTCAATGAGACTGACATAAAATTATGCCCTTGTTGGCAAATACTACTAAGAGGATATTTTTTCGTTTGAGTGAAATATGGAATATATTTTCACGAAATATGCTAAAATTCCATATATTTTCACGAGCCGGAACCAATAAGTAAAAACAATAAAAGTTGTTCACAAAGATTTTAATTGTATGCAATAATATTTTGATTATTCATCAGTGAGATTCAATTTAATGTCGTCATCTTACACTGTGTTGAGAAAACATATAACATAATTATCATTTTAATTTCTTATAATGAAATGAATAACTGAAGCTATTGACTGTCAGAAAAAAACATCTGAAAGTTGTCACTAGATATAAATATGTATTTTGACTCCGCCCACTTTCATATTTTTTAAATATCTATAACATACCGTACGTGTATGACTGAAACACTATTTCAAATTGTAATGAAAGAAAAAAAAGGAAAAAAACTAAACAGGTTTTTGCATCAATGACATTTTTAAGATCGTAATTCGTAATATGATAGTGACAATATCATAAAACCTTTCAAGGTGAAGATTTAGGGAAAATGCGGACACAATATAAAATCTCAATCCAATCTTTCTAGAATATGCTTCCTAGTATTTCAGATCTATTATATCGTAGCTCAAAACCTTGGCACGTAGTTTGTTAAATGAAAACACGTATGTGTGCAAAAGCCAAAGAGGCATGAATGATAGTTATAGATTTTAAAACCCAATAAGAAAACTATTATTTCAACCAATCATTTTAGAAGACACTTCAAAGCCTATTCTAGCAGAAAGTTGGGAATTTTCCCCCTATTAGATATGAACTTATTCATTTTTGCTTTATTAATGATAAGTAACGGATAACTAACATACGGACAAATCTAATGCAACACCATTAGCTGCTAGTTTAACATGAATTTACATCTTGCGACATTTAACGGTAGCGTTGCGACATTTAACGGAAAGTGAAAATCGTGCGACATTTAACGTTACCATTGCGACATTTAACGGCAGACGATTTTGCGACATTTAGCGGCGGTTGCGACATACATGCATATATTGTGCAAACATCCACAACAGAGTGTTGCCTCCAATTTATATAATCCAGAAAATGTAATTAGAATCCAGTACATGTATAAGGGCACTTCTTATAATTATTTGTTGTTGTTGGGTTGGGTTTTTTTTGTTTTGTTTTTGTTGATTTTTTTTTTGTAAATTAACAATTGACATAATTATACAAAAGCTACATTTTATTTCAGCTATTATCTACACCAGAGTGAAAAAATATAAATCTGGAAAACTTATGTATCTGTATCATATCTACGCATAAAATGCATGCACACATATTACTAAAATAGTTTTTGTGTCGGGTTATAATTTTTCGGAGTTTTACCGTACATTGTTATTTATACCGATTATTTGCAGGAAGCTTGCCACTTGTGGAGTTGTTGCCAAGATATTAAAATGTGTTGTAAATCAATGTTGTGTCAAGCACTTTACCCTTCTGATAAGACTCATTAAGCACTCTAAAAATCTGCCAGGTTGTTCCATTAATACCAATGTTCACAGTCTTCATGTATTAAAACATCTGAGGTATTGATATTCTTTGCAGGATTGTTATCAGTTTGAAATAAATTCGTTCAACACCCACAACATTCTACTAGTCTAAATTTAAGTTTCTCAAAACACGAAGAGCAGAAACCGGTATAAGTAGTCCAATAAATATGACGTTGCTTTGAGATATATATTTCATGGCAAAGCAACTTCAACAAGATCGTAAAGTCTGATATATTGGACAACGGTATAAGAAGTCACAAGGAACATACGTACGTACACTTTTACAATAAACACACGTTTGATCGATGCACAGTTATATGTATAGTTGAAATTGAAAACGTGTCAATTACAAAAAATACTGTAGCGGTCACATATATGTTGCACTTGTTGGCTCCTCCTGTGGAAGAGCCATTGTTACAGCTGTGCTACGCTGTTTGTACCGTCGGCAGCACGCTATATTTCGGATAAATTCAGCGTTCATGAAACCATACAACACAGGGTTAATGCATGGATTGAGGTAAGCAATGATTAAAGCGCACGTTAAACCATACGACGGCATCTCGTTCCTACCGTTTTCTATATCTTCTCTTATCATGCTGAAAACAATGACGACCGGAAGCCACATGATGACGAAAATGACAACGAGCAAAACAAGTGACGTCACTACTCTGTGTTCCCGTTTTCTTCTTGTTTGTGTGCCACTGTTAGAAGCCGTCTGCGAAATTGTATCTATTGCTCTTTTTGAATTCAGGAACTTTTTGAATATGCAGAAGTAGTTAATTGATATTATTACAACCGGAAGTCCAAACCCGAGTACAAGTAACATCGTGGTAAACAGTACAGAATAGTGAATGTGTCCACTAGGCCATGTCAGAGTACAGAATTTGTACTTTGTACCATTTTGATCAATCTCTTGAATATGAAAGAAAAACGCCGTAGGTAGAAAACAACATGATGTTGTAAGCCAGATACCAGCGCAGATATAGAATATGTGTACTGGTGCCAGGCGTCTGGAAGAAGATACATTTTTAACAATACAGACGTATCTGTCAATACTTATTGCAACCATTGTCCAGATCATTGTATTAGAACAGACAAACATCCCATAATTCAGTAAGTGGCACATTCCGTCCCCTAGGTACCACGAGCCAGTGAGTCTGACGTAAGCAACTAATGGCGCCGAAGATACAAATAATATATCGCCAATGGCAAGATTGCACACAAAATAATTGGTAACTGTTCTGGCTTTTCTAGATTTGAAGATAACTCCAAGAATGATGATGTTTTCAAACACTGACACGAAACATAAAATAATCATAGTAATAGCCTCTAAATAAGCAGCTCCTTTCCATGATCGGTTAAATTCGCTGAAATAAGTGAAATAAATGGTGCTATTATCCGAGCCATAGAAGAATGACCTGTTTATCTGAGATGTACCGTATACCATTATGTTGACTTCCGGTCTATCTCACGGTAATCCTCATCGTTTTAAGTTTTATGTCTAAATCTCCACTGACCAGGTTCTTAATCTTCTCCTTTCCTATTAAAACAAGTCCTTCCTGTATTTCTCGTATCAATGCTAGATAACGAAATACTCAACAAAACAGTTACAAACACAATTCACGTGCCGCTGTAATTAATGCTCATTTCCAGAAATACACGCAACAATTATGTTTACATACAAATCATGGCATGTGAAATATTTCATAAATAAACTCGTCTACTTGTTCTGTTTATAGAAATGTATCAGAGGTACTTATATCCCAAGCAATAAAGCAATAATAATAAAGTGATGAATAAATATCCCCCGATATTAAATTAAGGTCAATTTCGAAAATATGCAAATAGTTGAGCTCTCCTATTATTACATTATTAATATTTTCATCGGCGGGAAAAACTCAAAATGTCAACCCACATTATTAATAACACAGAGTTTTCATTTCATAACCATCGATTCTCGGAAGCAACGAAATGATGACGGATCTTATTCTCGCCATATAAAAATATCCGGGTAGGTGGGGGCGCTAAAGACTTTTCGTTAAATTTCATTGCATATGAGGTCCGTCCTTTTAAATTTGCTATGATTTTTTTATCACAAGAAAGACATATAACAAATAAAGACAGTTTATTAAGTCATTTTTATTTTATGTTGAACTACATTTTGATATTGTGTCCTGCTTAGAATGTGGAACAAAGTTAAAGGGATTCCATTATGCAAAAGCTTATCACTCTCATTTCCCTTAGGCTAATAAGTTGCCATATTCATTGGTTCTTAACTTTGTTAAATGTATATGTTTGCTTTGAAAGTAAATGCAAATAATGTTAAGGAAAATCATCATAAAGCAGACGAAAACCATTACAATTAATTAAGACTATTTGTACGTTATCAACACTGCATATTTACATATTTGGACTAAATGCATGTGTTTAAGTTATCATTTAACATTTTTCTTTTGTAAGAAAACTGGTACATATGTAATAAGAATCTACGTGCGCACCTAAATATCATTTGTTACGGGAATATTTGCAAAAGAAACAAAAACAAATTGTGTTCTCTCATCTCGATAAGTCATACATGAGTATCTCTAGCTTTATTTCTGTATTTATCATGCAAATTATTTTGTCTACAAGATTTATATACACATTTGTATAATTTTGTTGTTAATGCTGATTTGTTAGTGAAATTAGATATTTATAAAACTGATGCTCATGGGCCTAGTTAAAAATAAAACTTGAAACTTGTTATAAATTCTGTATTGAACATAGAAAGAAATGCACTAGAAATATACAAATTATTTTCATGTGTAGTTAGTAGGAAACAGACGACATTGGTATTTTCTGATTTTCCGAGCAGACGATATGAAAGTGTCCTCAGTGCAACTGAGTGCTGTATTTGCAACATCCCAAAAACAGTTCTATAGGATCAAACGCAACATCAAGGCCAAGGGCGACAAGTAGAAATATTTGTTCTGCCTTTTCAGTGTTAATATGTTCCCTTCCGTAAATAGTCCCGGCTAATATGATAAACGCAATTATCATATGAATAGTTTTGAATGTCAGGAAAAATCTGTTAAGACGCCTCACTTTTTCAGAGTTGCCGATTCCGTGTTGTAACACGCTTCCTGATTGGCTACCAATTAATAAGAATGCTCCAATCATCAGTAGCGTTATTGTAGATATTATAACGACATCTAGTGTGAAATTTTCTTCGGTTTCTTTTTTCAACACAGATTCTTTTAATATGATTATTTCTACAACGTCCAAAGCAATTCCAATGGTAGCGCGACACATGTAGAAAATAAATCCAATATCACCCCCACCAAAACATTTTGAAGCCAGTTTGAGAGCAAATAATGTAAAATCCATGGGGTCTTCAAACAAGCCCCGAGACGCCATCTTAGACGTCGAAATGTCAATTACTAACTCAAAGACATAAAAATGTATACTGCTCTTCTTTAACAATAGTGTTTTGGTTATTTCAAAATCGATCAAATGAAGTTGAGCAATGTTTCTTTTTATTTGTCACGACTGATCATTTTACAAGATCGATACTGGCTTTTCCTCTACGTTAAAATATGTATGATAATGGCGGTATAAAGGTAAAAGTACATGTGGTACTAATTGAATGTCTTGTTTTCAAAAGGAATAACAAAAGAATGCGTTTGTATTTGAAGATTTAATACTTTTTAGAAAAAAAGACTATGAAAAGAATGTTAAATGGTTATAGCGAAAAATTATATTTCACCAACATCTTCGCCAAGAGATATATTCAATCAAGTTCAAGCCATTATCAAAGAATAACGAGATAAGCATGTTTATGTGGGTAAATGTTTAAACTTGTGGCATGAATCACGGTGCATATCCATATCGGTACCCTCTTTGCGAAATCTGCTGAAACGGTATACCTTCTCTGAACATGCACAGGTCATTCTCTGCTAAAAACAAACCAGCGATGGATACCAATCCAGTAAAATTTCATTGTAATAAGGAAAGGAGGTATGTCACGTAGAAAAGATGTATACCACGGAACACTAGGATGTTTTATTTAAGTGCTGATTTGTCATGTGCCCGATTTTCATGTACTGCAACTTCACAATAAGCTACAAAAAATCGACATTTCTTGCTTCGCCAATCACCTCGACATATTTTTCGGGCTGAAATGAACCTGTGGCTCGATAATATATGCATCATACATATTTAATATGTTCATATACATATCATCTTCGGACAAATGGCAGTATATTGTCAAAAATAAATGTAAAATTCATAAAAACACCCTACTTTCGGTTTTGCAGCGGCACGGGCTACCTCTCTTCATTTGAATTTTTATGTCACATGTACCCTCTCATTATTGAACACATAGGTACCCTCAAAGCACGACATATGCTTTTATTTGCGTTAATCGTTAAGTGTGTATGTAATACTTTTTACTTTTATGTAAATATTACATACTTAACGATTAACGCAATGTGTATAAAAATTCAAATGAAGAGAGGTAGCCCGTGCAGCTGCAAAACCGAAAGTAGGGTGTTTTTTGAATTTTACATTTATTTTTGACAATATACTGCCATTTGTCCGAAGATGATATGTACATGAACATATTAAGTATGTATGATGCATATATAATCAAGCGACAGGTTCCTTTCAGCCCGAAAAATATGTCGAGGTGATGGGCAAAGCAAGACATGTCGATTTTTTTTAGCTTATTGTGAAGTTTCAGTACATGAAAATCGGGCACGTGATAAATCAGCACATAAATAAAACATCCTAGTGTTCCGTGGTATACATCTTTTCTACGTGTCATATCTCCTTTCCTTATTACAATGAAATTTTACTGGATTGGTATCCATCGCTGGTTTGATTTTAGCAGAGAATGACCTGTGCATGTTCAGAGAGGGTACCGTTTCAGCAGATTTCGCAAAGAGGGTACCGATATGGATATGCACAGTGTGAATGGTAGCTTGCATTTTCCAGTACCGACCATGAACAGGTTAGATCAAACCAAAGCTGTAACATTTCAATTTGTTGTGCTTCGTGAAACTCTAACCGTAAATTGTGTAAATAACTTGGAAAAACCTACAATTGCCAATTCGGATTCTATTCTTCATTATTTGTACAATATATTTAATCATTTTCAACCGAGCTTCGTTACTGTTTTGGGCGGTAAAACAGACTGTACAGTATACAAATTGATTCCCTTAGTTTTAGCATGTTAACAATTGACATTTGAAAAAGGCAACAACTTAGAATTCTTAAATAGTTGTAACTGATTGTAACATTGCCAAAGCACTTCTGAAAACGTTGTCATTTTCATAGAGACCATGCGACCATATACCCGCATCGAGGACAAGGTTGATAAAAACTGACCGTACGACCACATACACGCATCACAGGTTTCCCCTAGCTTCTAATACAACAGGGGGCAAAGGGATGTCCACCATTTCCGTATGGTTATTGATTTGGTATAAAAATGTATACAAATATAGTAATGCAAACCAAGTGGGGTATCAGAAAAGAAAAGAAAGACCTCAAATTAATTACCGTACTTTCACACACTCTTTCCAAATGGTCAATACAATGCATTCATAGAGATTAATAGGAAATATGTACATGTATCATATTTAAACTTTCGCATGAATACTTTCCGAAGTAAAAAGTAAAATGTGAACATATGAAAATTTTAGAAACAGACAATTACTTAAACCACATGATAATATCAGATAGAATAGAAGAAAGTGCAGCCACAGTGTAGTCTTTTGTACTCATTTTTAATTGAATTTGGTTTAGCCTTAATTGCATGGCTTTTTCTTTGGTTTTTCATTTTGGAACGCAAATGAAATCGTGAATTGATTATCTAAATAAGTCTACAAACTTGAAATAAGAATGTGTGTATGTATATTAACGTTGTAATGTTAAATGACCAACAACATTGGTGAACGAATTGTTTTAGAATATCACACATACGGTACGTGATCGCTATAAGAAGAATGTCGTCTGCTTTATATGTGAACTGATTTGTTCATCTAGTCACCAACTGGGACTTTGTTTTCTTTTAATATAGTACATGTACATGGCATGGCGTAAAATCTTATCAGGCCTGTAATTTCATGGTAATATTGTTAGTTATTAAGATTTTTCGACAGCTTATATGACCCAGTATGACCTGCTGTTTGTTTTTAAGGGGCCTCCGTTGCCGAGTGGTTAAGGTCGCTTACTTGAGATCACATGTCCCTCACCTCTGTAGTTTCGATCCTCACTCGTGTCGAAATCTTTCATGTTAGGAAACCATCCAGCTGGCTTATGGAAGGTCGGTGGTTCTACCTAGGTGCCCGCTCGTGCCTGAAATAATACCTAATGCCTAGAGGGGCACACCACAGCTTCCTCCACCAATAAAGCTGGGGAAAAAATCCACGAAAAATCTTGGCAGGACGCTCTAGGCAGGCCTGACTTGAGTGTACGGTCGCCCTTATGGGCTTTCCGGCGGCGACCTTAAATAAACGCAATTTAGAAAACTGTTTGTTTATTTAACCCATATATAACCCATTTAACTATATACACCAGGCGAGGTTGACACTCGGCGAGGGTGTAACTAAGCGAGGTTGACAATCGGCATGGGTGACAAATGGCGACGGTGGCAGGTGGAGGGTTTATGAAACAAACAACCTTGCCTTTACGGCTATATAACCTATCAAAGGTTTTTTTAACACTGCTGCATTGACTTCTTTGATAAAATTATACTCAAATTTGCTGCAGAAATGTTCATGTACTAGTATATATCGATAGTATAATTTGCCGATAAAACTGACGTTACAAATGGGTTTTAAATATCTAATTTGAATTATTTGAAACAAGTACCTTAATATTTCCTGCTGAAAAGTTATAGCATTGTTAGGGCATTGTAGTGAAACTAAAAATCTAACCGCATTAAATAAAAAAGACAATATCTGTTTAAAAACATATCATATGGTTTACAAATAGACATAGAAGTAGAATGAAACCTGTATCATTATTTTTGTATAATCTTTAAATACGATAATTATGGTGGCTGAGGTAAGCCGTTTCGTATTTTAGCCATATTATCATTATTTTAAGGCACAAAAGGCTTATAATTTTTTTAATGTGTCCTATTACGGTTTCCATAACGTTATTCACATGCCATGAAGTCGAGCCATCATTACAGTATTTTGTATTTTGGCACAAAAGTATTTTGAATCAAAGGTGTTCTGCGAATTGATTGGTCACTTCGCCAAAAATAAATAAATGAATAAATAAATAAATAATGAAAAAGAAAGAAATGACACATATATATTTAGTATACTAGTACATGTATGATCTATTTTTTCTATTTTTTTTTTGCTTTGGCGTAATGCCAGTCAACGCGCCAAACATCTGTGTTTTAAAAAGAGGTCAAAATGCTACTTTGTTTTCATTAAAATTTTATATTACCTTTATCATACTTTTTTTTAACATTCAGCGCTATCTATTCATCTTACATGATTTTAATCCATAATATCACAACAAACAGAAAGAAAACAATATTCATGTCTGAGATCGACTGTTCTTCAACGTAAACTTAAGTGACGTCAGTTGAAAAGACAAACCCTTGGTATCTTCCAATATAGTTTCAAATTTTATATAAATACTAGAAACACTTTAGAAGGACCACTAAGCCTTTTTATAGTGAGAAGGACCCCAAATTGAAAAGCGTAGCAAAAACCGGCTAAGAATTGTACAAAAATCGATTTCCGATTTAATTCTGAATATATTTCTTTGTTATCCTTTCAGATTTTTTTTCAATTTTAAGTGAATGGTATTCGTAAGATTTTAAAATTATATGTTGTAAAGCATATGGACTTCAGTGGAGTTCCTTTAACTATAGATACGAGCGTATGCTTCTAAAATCAAAAACACGAAAATGCAATTTATGAAGGATAATGGAATCCTTTTCACATCCATATGTTGTGATTTGGACCTTGCTTTTCCAGAAATAATTGGATTGGGCGGAAGTGGTTTTCTCAAGATTTACATTAAAGCACCAATGAGTACATAATAATGATGAGTCTATGACGAATGAATATTGCTTAGACATGACGGTACATGGGCAACAGGGGCGAGTTGTAGTAAGTAAAAAAAGTAATCAAATGTTTCCTTTTTATAACTTTTGCTGTTACATCTAACTCGTTCTGCAAATATTCGAGTTTTGTTTAATTTGTTTTGTTAAAACTTTTTTGACTTGCTTTATTATTAATAAGTTATTTCCTTATTTCAGATTTGTCACGAGATATTAGAATAAACATAAGAAACCATTTGTTATAAATTAAAAGATTATTTTGTTGTCATTACTTTTATTATAACTGCAATGTCATTTATACATAATTATTTCAGACTTCAATGATGTTGAAGATATGCAACGTTGTTATGGTGGTCCCAACAACGATGAAGGCCATCGCATGTCACGATCGAAAGACGGGCGTAATTATGTGAATGTGGGTCCGCTTTCAGTTCGAGTTCGTGCTGATGCCCGTTATTTTCTGTAGTGTACACCCTAATAGTGTGCCCATGCTTCAAGCCGTCTAGTTCCTCCTTTGTTAAGAAGATATCATGATTGTGGGCTCCTGGGGGATTTGAGTGGGTTGTTGACGTAGCATAATGAATGTCCTCATGAATGTTCAGATCCTTGATTTGTGGCTTGTGTTCGAACATTTTCTGATATTTATGCATGTCCATCATCATGTCCTCCATTGCAGCTAGATTCTTCCAGGTTGCACTGCCTTCTTGGTGTGTAGGGGCTATTGGGTATCTAATACGAATTTTTCCGACACCTGGAATTTCGGGGGAAAATATACGGATACCGGATGCAGTTACACGACGGACCTGTAAATAAAGACGGACGTTAGTCGTGTTTTCCCATTAGTCTACCGAAACGCCAAGAATGTTAAAAAAAAACATACAAAAATGGCACGATACAAGATGCAGAACACAAAAGAAAAGGTGGCGGTATTTAAAAGATTACATGTGTGCAATGGTAAACATAAGCTCTTATGGATATGGAACTCTATAAAAACTGATTCTATTACGTCATTTTTAAATAATTGTATAATACCTCTCCATGTTGATCTAGGACACCAACAATATCCTTTGCAGTATCTGCTGGATCTCTATTTGCCTCACCACCATGGAAAAACTCGGCCGGTGTCAGGTAGTAGCTCTGTAAGGATGAACCATTAAATGCCTTCGCTTTGTCCAGACCTCCGTCTCGTCCACCATCAGTTACATAATGGAATGTTCTGTAATCTCTGTCTAGAAGCCGAAGGTTGTATGGATTCCAACTACTGAGTGGTGTCAACCAGACTATTTCAAGTGGTACGGCATATGTTGTTCTTGCCTCATGATATTTGCACTCCATCTTATGTGTCTTTGAATTACGTTCACAATCTTTGACGTTGAAATTTGCGATTTTTGGGTTCTTCGTTTGAGCAACCCATAGAGAGGTATCAGAGTATCCTCTGTTGCGTACACTCAGACCCATAGCACCCTTTCTCATTACTCTGTAATGACGATGGTATCGAGCAGTGTTCAAAACGGTTGCATTTTTCATATCAATTCTGTATTTAAGAAGCCCAAATGAATCATCTGTTTGATGGCCGGGATAGTTGTCAACACCTGGAATTTCATTCATGATAGAGTCCATTGTACCATAAGTATAACGACGGTCAGAATATGTTCCAAACCCATCATCAGCGTGATAGCCATTTCCTCTTGATGGGGCCACAGTGAATCGAACTTGTTTGCCTTTTCTTGTATAATCACTATAGTTGTAATTTGGCATCCATGCCATTCTTGCTGCTAAATCATCGACTGGTTTCAGGTCCTTCAACTCCAGATCACGCTTGATTGGATGGCATAAGATTCTGTAGTTCCACTGTGCGTAAATAGGCTCGCCGTGTTCTGTTACGTTTATAATTGTTGTCGGTAGGTATGAAAGATTTTCGAATTGGTTTTTGCCACCTGTGGATGACATATACTGAATCTTTTGTTGTAGGTCAAACCAACTGGATGCGTCAATGAAATGTCTGTCGCTCTGGAAAGGTTCGTCAAGGTGTTTCGTGTCTGTAGTCCAGCCGCCTTCTAGATAACACAGTACTGGTTTGAAATATGGTTTGTAATTTCTCAGTTTAGTATTTTGATCACGGAAAGCTTTGAAATACTGTTGCATTTCTGCAACTTGCTCTGGGATAGTTTTCTTGTTGCGAACAGTTGGTGGAACATCGGGAAATGGAATATCCTCCATTGCATGGTAATCTGATTTTGTTCGGTGGGGCATTCTGAGCTTGTAGTCGTTATGTCTGGTTCGGAATTCGACTCCGTTCAATACTCCAATAAATTCACCCATGCCGACAGTTCGGTCATAGTTCGAGTGCTCATGGATAGCGAGAAACGAGTGGCTCGAATACGTATCGTAGTGATAAGGTCTTGACCCGCCGCCATTGCTTCGAATTTGCTTGACACCGGAACTACCATCTGAGCGTACTCTCTCTTCTACAAACAGTTGCTGAAGCATCATTTGTCTCGCCAGACCGCCGATTGTTTGTTTTACGGACGTTTCAAATTGTTTGAACTGCGCCTGCAGCTGATGGAGAAGTTGCACGTCATTACTGGTTGCGCCATGTACAACATACAACAACGGGCACAGGAACAGAAAAGATAACGTCAGTCGCATCTCTGAAAATTGCAAGATATACATTGAAACAGCTCGTAACAAAATTTAATAAATTTAATAAATTTCAACAAAGAAGATCAATTTTGATATTAAAGAAATTCATGCAATTACATCTGGCCGTACTTAATAATAATAGTGCAGAAGATGTACATTTTAAAGTTCACAAAAGGGGATATGAAAGTAAAATGCATGCTTGAGTTATTGACCTTAGCCAATAACTAACAACCATGACCCCCTAGAACGTGTATACAAAACCAAGCATGTTCAGTGGTTGACATGTTTAACCATATAAATCATTAGATTTGTACATTTAGGTTATATTGTCGAGTTGATTTTCTCCGCATGTATGGGATTTGTTTCTTATCACTGGCCAATGAAAACAGAAAGCGCGCGAAAAGTAATTCTTTATTTGGGAAGAAAGAATATATGGCTTGATAAAGTTGCAACGGATAAAAACATTTGTGAATGCACAGAACGCTTTCAAACATTGAAATGGGTGTTGGTGACAATTTGTATTGAAAAATATTTTTTAACTGAAATTATATTTGTAGTTTAAAGTGTAATGCTTTTGGTATATATAGATTGTTTATGATTTTTCATTCTGAACCACCTTCCCACTCTCAGAGATTGATATATTTTATATATTATTTTATTTATAAAATATATATATCTAACCGATTTCTTAGGTCATGTGACACTGATCTGACCTGGTTTTGATTTTGTGTGTAGATCTAATTACGACATTACAAATATCACAAAAACATTTGCATCAATTATACATTTTTGCAAAAACTACCGTTGCTCACGGAAGTATTATTGCCCCAATTGCCACTCATATAACTTGTCCAGTAGTCTCGTCAAAAAGAAAAAAAAATATGTATCGGCTATTTACCGTATTTACGTGCACTCACTGAGCTATAGCACGAAAAGTGTACTGCATTATATATAAAATCTGTTTAGTGTCCAGCTTTATTTGTCATCCAATGAAAGCGCTGTATTTCTTAAAAATTATGTGTGTTAATTTTCATAGAAGAAAAAAAGTCGATACTATATTGAAATCCGTTCATAGTCGCCTTCTATTTTTCATAGTGCTTCATAGAACCGCGTAGTGACGTTATCAAGGGCCAAATAAAGCTTGACACTAAATAATTATGTTGGTGTTCATCCTTAGCTGTTCTACAGAAATTAAAAACATTCTCCTGTCGCTATCGCTCCCGTTGAAGTTTCTAATTTCTGTAGAACAGCACGGATGAACACTAACATATACATAAAGATATCTTTATATACATTTAGTGTCCAGCTTTATTTGTCATCCAATGAAAACGCTGTATTTCTTAAAAATTATGTGTGTTAATTTTCATAGAAGAAAAAAAGTCAATACTATATTGAAATCCGTTCATAGTCGCCTTCTATTTTTCATAGTGCTTCATAGAACCGCGTAGTGACGTTATCAAGGGCCAAATAAAGCTTGACACTAAATAATTATGTTGGTGTTCATCCTTAGCTGTTCTACAGAAATTAAAAACATTCTCCTGTCGCTATCGCTCCCGTTGAAGTTTCTAATTTCTGTAGAACAGCACGGATGAACACTAACATATACATAAAGATATCTTTATATACATTTAGTGTCCAGCTTTATTTGTCATCCAATGAAAACGCTGTATTTCTTAAAAATTATGTGTGCTAATTTTCATAGAAGTAAAAAAGTCGATACTATATTGAAATCCGTTCATAGTCGCCTTCTATGTTTCATAGTGCTCCATAGTACCGCGTAGTGACGTAATCAAGGGCCAAATAAAGCTTGACACTAAATATGTTAGTGTTCATCCTTAGCTGTTCTACAGAAATTAGAAAACATTCTCCTGTCGCTATCGCTCCCGTCGAAGTTTCTAATTTCTGTAGAACAGCACGGATGAACACTAACATATACTTAATATACGTACCTTTATGCAGTTAGGCTTAAATTTTGATATTATTAAGATATACACTCCAATGGTCACTGTGTGATTACACGATGGACACAAATAATATTTCCCCCTTAATCTCTTACTCATGAAATGAGATCGACGTGTACTTCGAAAGTACCATTAGATAGATGTACCTGAATTTGAATACGAAACCCATACAAATGATGAAAATGGAAAATCTGAAACATAAAAGACTATACTGTTTCAGATTTTTCAGTTTTCATTACACATCTGTTTATATGGGTTTTGTATTCAATTGTGTTTTATGAAATGAGTATGTTGTTTGGATATATAGGTACAATGTATATTGAAAGTTTTCTTTGTTAACTGTGGTACTTCCGGGAAAAGACATATTGCTCAAGAAGAGAAACAAAAGAGAAACGATTGGCATTTCGTTGTCCCAGATAAATTATGATACAGTCACTTAAGACTAGATAATTGATAAATTAGTAAGCGGGCAAAAATTTATTCAATGAGTAACGGTGATTTCTTACAAAAAGTGCACCAAACCTTGATTTTTGTACGTATATTATGTCAGACTTACATGTATATCAATACATAATCAAACCCAGGCCAAACATGTGTCATAAAAGCTGAGAAATCGAATTGTCTCTTATTTTTGGTCATTTTTACGATGCTTTTATGACTCATATATTTAGTCCGATTATGTGATAGGCAAAATTACATTAATAATTATTTTAATTATTCAAATGGTAGAGTACATCTTAAAATTCTGGAAAAGAAGATCTATATGCAAGAATGAAAATAAGTAGAATTGAAGTTTAATATTTCTGTACGAATCCTCCAATATTTATATAATCAAATAATTGATCATAAAAAAATCAAAATTAATAATCTGAACTTTTATATTTTGTTTGAATGTAAAAAGAAAATAAATATTTTACCTGCAACTTTGTACGAAGCCTGCTTTTTCGCAATTGACAGATACTTCTTTCTCGCGTTGCTACCGGCAGAGGAGCAACTGGTAAATGTGGCCACCAGGTCGCCTATCTCTCACGATTGTACCAACAAAGATATCTGACCTTATAGTTCCATTTAAAGGAACACGGGCTTATCTTAGTAGTTCATTACATTATTCAATATTTTGAATATATTTAGCATGTATTCGTATCCGAAATTGTTACACTTTTGCAGCAAAATTCGACCGACCGAATGGTTACTTTCACATTCACTTAATAGCCTTTTGGGTCAATGTGTGAAACCGTACTTTGTCAATTTATTTTCATGTGAAAATATCAGTACATTTACTAGAGTTTTGATCAATTATACTAGTTTATCAAAATTAACTTATTTCAACACATTTCATGCCTGTAATTTTAATATTTTCTGATTACTCATATATTAATGTACCTATCTCAATATAAAAAAATAACGTGCTGAAAGTTCTGTATACAATCAGGTTTCCGATTATATATTTTTGAAATAATTCTGGATAACCCCTTGAAACGTTGGAGTTTGAAAAATTTTTGGAATAGATAATTATATATTTTTGGTATTTACAAAAAAAAAATGCTTTATATGAATGAAATATCACCAGAACCATATGATTAAGCTAGATATATATGAAGCTCTAATGAAAAATGTTTTCCCATGGAGTAGCTTCTAATGAACTATTTCAAGTGTGTTTTAGTTTGAGTTGGGGTTGACCTCAGTAATACCAAGATTGTAAATTTGAAATTGTTTCATAAACCTAATTCTTTATGTGACCTTAAGTTTGTATGTCCTCAATTTTTCCCCTTGAGATAAAGAAATACATGTACAAAGCAATAAGATAGTTCATGTCTACAACTGAAAGATAAGACGGTGTTGAATTGTTTAGACCATAGCTGTCCGGACTTGTATTAGGGCGTCAGGTAGACAATTATCTTTTTAATAAATGATTTTTTGTTTCCGTAATTAAGATGTTTAAAACATTTTTTTTCAGGACTTTCAGCATTCGTTATTATTTTTTTTGCCATCAACACATGCTATACTTATATATTATAAAGAAATAATAAGTATCTGTAATTCATCAGTTAACTTTATCATATATTCTTGATGTATTTTATTATGTGTAAGTTTAATGTCTGCTCATAAACTTGAATGAGCAATCCTCAAATTTATGAAAATAGTGAGCCATATGAAAAAGCATTTTTTATTCTAAAATTTGCAAAGCCACATTTTCATAAAGAATTCAGTAGCTTATTTATACCTGTTTTTCTTAAGATATCCGAATATTTTGTTTCATTATCACCCTTTTTTCTTATTAACTATATCATATTTGAAAAGTTAACGTTCTAGAATATGATTCTTAACCGTCGCTTTCGAACGCAGTTGAGTATCAGTTTATATTTTAAGTGTTATAATATAATTATGTTTGAAGAAATATTATTCATTAACATGTAATAAAGAATACAGATATCAACGAGGCAAAGGCTACGTTCACAGAATGCAGAATTAAACTAGCAATGACATTTTCCTACCATTTAATTTTACAATGAGCAAGAGATTTTTGATTGATAAAATTGCTTTTTTATTTGAAAAATATCCATATCCCACATTTAATTCAGAATCAGTCGTCAAATTACAGAACTGTCAGAATGTAGTCATCATTATGCTTACAAGTGCAGTCCGCCTTGTAGTTTGCCTTCCTTTTAATTATTATTATCTTATATAACCTTCTACTATAGACATAAAAAGCCATAATGGTAGCTCCATTTGAATATCAAATTCTTAAGGAAAAATATGCATGATTATAATAATTTGTAAATATACAATTTGTTATATTTGTATAAATACAAAATCTGTTAGATGATGATTTTCTATTTTTAGCCATGCGAGTGACGTTTTGGTTATTGGCTTTGTGCCAAATTCTCTTCTTTACAAATGGCGCAAATACGGCTTCCACAACTGACACTTTTTCCAAACAAGTGCACGACTTCCAGACAGAACTTCAACAGTTTACGTCTTCTGTAAAAACGAGTATAAGTCGTCTTGCTAGACAAATGATGCTTCAGCAAATGCAAGTGGAAGAGAAAATCCGTGCAGACGGAAGCTCGGGTATCAAACAAATCCGAAACAACGGTGGCGGATCGAGGCCCTATCACTTTAATACATTCATGTCGCCTGGATCATTTTGTTCCATGCACGAGCATTCCAATTACGACAGAACTGTAGGCTTAGGTGAGTTTATAGCCGTGTTAAATGGTGTGGAATTCCGTACAAGACATAACGATTATAAACTCAGAATGCCATCTACTAAGACCAAGAATTATCACGTAATGGAAAATATTCCATTTCCGGAGGTCCCACCTTCAGTCCGCAGCAAGCAAAATATCCATGAACAGATTGTTGAGATGCAACAATACTTTAAGGCTTTCAAAGAGCAGGACAGCACGATTAGAAATTACGAACCGTATTTCAAACCGACCCTTTGTTATGTGGAGGGCGCTTGGACGACTGATACTCGTCATCTTGACGAACCATTTGAGAGCGACAGACATTTCATAGATGCATCGAGTTGGTTTGACTTGCAACAAAAGATCCAGTATATGTCTTCAACAGGCGGAAAGAACAACAATGAAAATCTGTCATACCTTCCAACCGCTATCATCAATGTTACTGCCGATGGCTCGCCTGTTTATGCACAGTGGAATTATAGAATCGTGTGCCATCCGATAAAGAAAAAACTGAAACTTGAAGATTTTAAGCCTATCGATGACTTGAATACACATATAGATAATATTCGCAGAAACTTCACTCAGTTGACAACATATAGTAAAAGCTTAAGATATAACTTAGCGCCAGAACACGGGTCCAACTACAGTAACCTAACAGGTTCGGGAACATTTGAAGATGGTCACTTTTACTACAATATCATGGATCAACTGATGTACGAAATTCCAGGTGTTGATAATTACCCAGGACATTTAAGTGACGATACCTTTGGCGAGCTTAAACACAGAGTGGATACCAACACTCCAACAGTATTAAATACCGCTCGTTATCATCGTCACTATAAGATACTTCCAAAGGGCGACAAGGGACTTTCAATGCAAAACAGAGGTTATTCAGACTCTACGCTCTGGGTTGCGCAAACTACAAACCCAAAGATTGCCGAAATGGAAGCCAAGGATTGCCACGTTGACGTGCATACGCAAAAGCCTGTATGTAGAACATACAAGACCCGGTCGACATATGCAATTCCTCTTGAGATTGTCTGGCTCACCCCGCTCAGTGCATGGAATCCGTATAACTTAGCAATTCACAAAGACTACAATGCTGTTACTGCCAATGGTAGAAATGGGGGAAACGATACAGCACATGCTTTTAATGGATCGTCTTTACGTAACTACTATCTAACACCGGCTGAATTCTTTCACGGCGTAGAAGAAGACCGAGATCCCGCCGATACCGCCAAAGATTCTGTAGGTGTGTTAGATCAGCACGGAAAGGTATATCTTAATACATGTATATACAGGTCCCGACAAACGTTATTTTTCTAAATTTATAACGTGTTTGTGATAGGCAGAATTTAGAAAATATCATTTTGATATGAAGGTCATCAAAGCAAAATTGTTCTAAACAAAATCGCATTTCCATATACTTCCGTTTCTTATTAAGTAGAACAAATGCAAAACGAAACATTTGTTTAGTCTGTACAATGTCAAATGTCTGATGTGCGGTGAAATAGCCTACATTATTAACCCAATTAATTTATGCATTATTTTATCTGTCCAAGTCTCTCTTTGGGAAATATCAACAGATATCAATTTTGAGTCCGTTGTTGTAGAATAATGCACGGTTCGAGTACAGATGCGGAGTCATGTATAATCACGAAGGCTGGTGGGTCGTACATAGCATTTGAACAATGAACCATGCATGATTGTACTACAAAGGAAATTGATATGGATTTCCAATCTTCCATGCCTATGAAGAATTCATAAAAAATATTTTGAACTGCATTTAGCGGAGAAGTAATTTTCGTCGTCGTTGGTTTATTGACGTCAAATATGGCGTCATATTGCGTTTAAACAGTCTTTCTCTTGATCAGTGCATATATCATGTAATAAGACACGCGATTGCTCAGTCTGTTTGATAAGAAAAACATGTGAACCGTGTTAGAATCTTTGCCAAATCAAATATTTTAGTGATTGATGTAATGATATTGTAGTGACGTAAAAATAATTCAACAAATTCCTTTTAAAACTTATTATAAGAATTTTGAATCATCAAACATCCCGCTCTAGATGCGATCTTTCTGAGGTTTTGTTTTAGAGTATTAAGCCAAAAAAGACCGATATTTCGGAATATATAATACACTTTTGTAATTTTTATAGGTGCAGAGAGTTTCTGCCTCCGGCATACGTATTTTTACACCGAAAATAAGCGGTGTTGGCAAAATAAGACTTAGGTACCCGGTTGCTCCGGCTCACCAAGAGGGAGACGTAACTTGGAAAAATCTCATTGCATTGCAAGACGTTCTGATGGATACCATGAAATTTGCTCAGATGTTTGAGCAGAAGCCCGCTACGATGGATCCACTTGCGCATGCGCCCGATACCATCTACCTAATGACGACGACGCACAATAATCCACCCGGAATGCATAACCATGAGGTGTATATCACACGTGAAGAAATGATCGCTCTTGAACGAATTGGGACCATGGTTGAAGTCTATACCTCGGAAAGTAATGGACATCATCATCAGCTTACATTGACTATGGATCCACAACATAGTGATCTCAGCACTTTAAAAGTAGTTGACTGTGACGGAAAATCAACATGCTGGGACGGCCATAGCATGACCGTTACAAAGAAGAAAGTGTGATCATAATTCCTCTCGTGTTGTACTTAACAACAAGAAACATATTAAAATATTTATAACTATTCACAATTTTGTTTATATATTTTGTAAGTCTGTTCCGTTTTCGTTACATTCGTAAAAATTACAAACAAAATGTAAAAAAATCATAGGAGGTATTCAATTTAGACGGCAAACGAGTATACAAACTTTAAAAGACCTAATATAGTAAATCACACAGACGCGCACGCCCGCACGCTTGCGCACAAAACACCATTTTTTACACGTAGCACAAGTTGTTGCTCTAAGCTAAACCCAAATTATTTATTTATGATTGACACTTGATGTGAGTTGTTGTATCAGTGTTCAATAAGTAATAAAGAAACATTTATCAAATAGAGAAAACGGAATCACTAAAGAACGTCCAAGACGCAGGCTCGGTTAAAATGAGCCGGTTCATAGACGGTACCGATAGGGCAAGTTACCCTCTACGTCCCCTGTCAACGACTCAAGGACAATTCAACATTTAAACATAAAAATGGTGAAATTTTGAGTTTACAAATATCCATACGGTGGTTATCATGGAACCTAATCAATGTTAGACGTGAGTGTCTTTCCATGAAAAACATTGGACACAAAGGCGTTTGACAGCATTCTACATTATTCAAATAATAAAACAACATTACCAAGCACAGCAAAATTATAAAGTACCCAGATTAGGTGGAAAATCGTCCTATTCCTTTCTAACATGCAAATTAAGAACATAAAATGATTGTTTTATGATCATTTAAACCATCTAGTTTTTAAAAACAACAAACAAAAGGCAAACAGTAAGAGATGAGATAATGCTGGAAGAATTTATCTTCTGTTGATGTTGATACCCGTGTTCTTTTTCGATGGGATATAAAGTTAATCTAGCAAATAATCATGAGAGTTTTATGTTCTATCTATCTCCTAGTAATGCCAACCCCCTTGTGGGAACACATATAATATTAGAAATCTTACTTTTTTCTCTAAAAAATGATGTTTGCTGTATTATAAATTCGTTATAAAGATTTTTGACAGGTTATACGGCCGTACAATGTATATAAACGGCTGTTTGCAATATAACCCTCGCCTAGCGGCTCGGGTTATATTTACAAACAGCCGTTTATATAGGGCCATAATTATACTAGTAACCTGTCAACAATCTTAATCACTAATTATATAAATGTCACGATAATCCAATGAAAAGTGACGTTCCAAACGTGCAGTATTATAATAAACTATATCATTGCGATTATTCAATTGAAAAATATGATAAACAAGATCAACAATGAAAGGCGGCGTTCAATGAACGCAACCCCCATATGACCCAGCAACAAGAACCAATGGCAAGGAGCCCAGACGGACCCAAACAAAACCAGGACAGGGCAAAGTACGGACAGGTTAATCATTAAATGATAAATAATTTGTAACTGATTAGGAATTCAAAGAAAAGAATAATAGGTCAACAAAGGGGAAGGGGACACGAGACCAGGGGAAGGGGGGTTAATCAAAAAAATAAAAACTAGAGGCAATTGGGAAGATACTTACTGTAAACGAGAAAACAACAAGGGACACAAGCAAAAGTGTCAGAAGAACAGTATGAAACAACATAGACATACATCTGAGGAACAAAGATGGGCACCACCTTGGAACGGTCAGCAGCATAATAATGACTGCTGGGGAGTTTAAACCGGTTAATGGTGCACCAAACCTCGCTCTTAGCCCCACCATGTTCTTATAAACGAGACAGTGTAAATAAAATGAATCCCCGCCAAGTGAAATTCTAACAGATGTCATGGTTACAAAAGGTTAAATAAGTAAAACACTAAAATGATCATGTAGAAACATATAAAAGTAAACCCAATGACCATAACAAAAGTACTCAATGTCCTAAAGGAAGACAGAGCAACAAGAAAATCACCTAGCTACAAGGGCCCGACGAAACAAGGCAGGCGACGAACATTAAGACAATTCAGTCCCAAAGGGCTTTACGAACTTTCCATCATAGAGTCTCCCACGTGGTCCGTCAGATGTAATCAAAAAAGGAAAGCGTAGTGTCCAACTGTAAAAGGGTTGAACACTAAACATGCAGTATGTCTTAAAATAGTTGGGTCATAACCTCTTTTAATAAAACGTTTAATGATTTTAGTGAAAACAGTGCTCAGAAAGATTACCATGACCCAAAATCTTACGAAGTTTGTAAATCACATCGCCATAAAAAAAACAGGCTGGCTAATCCCTTGTCGCAGAAGAGTTTTTAAATCACTATTGAATTTAGAAATTAAATCAAAGTTACGATTGTAAAATTTAGTAAAATATTTCCGTAATTTATGATAGCGGTAGCCCTGTTTAGGTCCTTGCTGGTAATAAAAATATCCCCCTCGTTGAAATCTTTTACGTTGCTACAAGCTCTAGCGAATCTAATTAACTGAGAAACATAAACCCCGTAAGATATTGCATGGGGTACGTCTCCATCTAAATGTGGATAATTAACTATACAAAGGTCAAAGTCATCTCTTTTATCATAGAATTTCGTGTGAATAGAATTGTTGTTGATAGTAATATGAAGATCCAAAAATGATGTACTAAAATTTCAAGAGTTCGTTTTATTCGTTGTAGTTCATGCGGATAAATGTCAGACACCATTTGATCAAAATAAGGATTATCTAAATTAAATATATCATCAAGGTATCTGGAAGTATTAAATGCGACAATAACATCTTGTTGTTTATCTTCAGAGAGACTCAACATAGCCGTACAAAAACAAATCGGCGACCAGGGGTGCACAATTAGTACCCATAGGATTTCCTATGATCTGTTTTAAAAGGGAACCTGGTATTACCAAACCTGACATAAATGTTGTCTAAAAGAAAAGAGAGTGCTCTACAAACTTCGTCACAGGTCCACATAGTATAATGTTTAACAATACCGTTAGTAAAAAAACTTTGTTAGAATTACATGCTAGAAAGGTAACTTTTTCCCGTGCAAAAGTTTTCTGAATTAGGGAAATTAGTTTATCATTGATTGATTTATGTGGCAAAGTTGTATAAAGTGTGGAAAAATCGTATGTACTGACAGTTGAAGCTTGAGAGTTCTTAATTTTGAATTCATCCAAGATTTCACCAGAATTTTTAATTGACCAAAAGAGATGTTTGTCTGTGTTTTCATGGACTTTATCACAATATCTAATTACATGTGTTTTAATGGTAGTCAAACAAGACGTCAATAAAATAGAAAGTTTACTTGTAGTGCAAGATGTAGAATTAGCAATGAATCTGGCTTTGTAAGGTTTTTTTATGTAATTTAGGAATCCAGTACATAATAAGAAGTTTGAGTTCTTTTTCATTAATTTGGACTTTAAGATTGGAAATATTAGTACATGTAATATGATTGTTTACAATGTCTTTTTCGGAGGCAGAGGTTTTAGAATAGGCATTAGTACTATTTAGTTCCTGATGCAAAACTTTAATGTAACGGATTCGTCATACATTTATAATATTATCAGCCGCCTTGTCCGCTGGCACTAACACAAATTTTGAATGAAAAGCTAGAATATCTTTTTTCAGATGTCTTAAAGTAAGTCTTGGTTTAGGTGGCAAAAGATGTTCATTTCCATGATAAGAATTGATACGTGAATCAATAATTTTAAAGATAATACGTTTCCATATAACTGAAAGCCAGTTTCAATGTGTAAACGTACAGTTTTACAAAGCCTCTTGTCCATTACAGAAATATAACAAACAGGGCACCAATGACCAAAATTTACATAAAAGCACAGTACCGATATCATTTACATGTATGTGTGTGTGGGGGGGGGGGTGCGTGCGTGCGTGCGTTCGTGCGTGTGTGTTTAGTAGATATTTTAAAAAAGTTGATAAGCATACGATATTAACCGTTTTATACGTTCATATGTCAGAAATGAGTCAAGAAAGGTAGAGGTTTTTGCAGAAAAATAAATTCTTTCGACTATCAATGAAGAGACAAATCATTTGCAATTTCTAATCAAAGGTCATGCAATAATAACATACTGGAAAAAAAGCTCAATATACACAGGTGTTATTCAATCCTTTACACTAAATATATTGCAATCAATGATCTCCAAAGACAAGAAAAATATAACATCACTGAGGTAAAGCACGGGGCAATTTTATGTATATTAATGCACAAACGGGTACCTATGACAGGCCTTCTCCAATCCTTCTCGAGAGAAAATTACCATTAAGCTCAATATCCGAGATCAACTATCAAGGAGAAAGTTCGCCTTGTCCGATGATCAGATCAACGAATCCTGAATTAAATATTATATAAATAACACATGGGTTTGTGGGTAACAGTAAAAATATCATCCCGAGGAAAATACTGTTACCCGAGACGTAGCCGAGGGTAACAGTATTTTTACAAGGGATGATATTTTTACTGTTACTCACAAACCCATGTGTTATTTATTTTATTACCCCGAACAAAAATACTGTGATGATCTGAAATTGTCAATTAAATCTTACTGTAGCAAAAATAAACCAAGAGTAACAATAACTAAACAGAATTGTCCTTACCTTTTATGTTTTTAAGTGTACCAACTTGAGAAGTTTTCTTTTTCTTTTAATCTTTAATCAAGTGATGATATCTACAAATCATAAACATACAATACGCTAAGTTTTATTTAGAACACAAAACACTAACCCATTTACACGGTTATGATCTATGAAATCTGATCCTTCTGTTTCCAGAATATTCTTAGCATGGTTTTTGACAAATAAAGATGATATCCTATGTCTGTCCACCATATCTGTAACGTTTCACTGATTAAAATTGTTAAATAATCCTTTGTTGCATGCTTAAATCGACTGCATGTTCCAGTTTGATACATAATTATTTACAATGCAATTACTTCCGTTGAAAACGGATGTTCACTTTTTGACTATTCAACAAAAAGATATTTTATACGCGAAAAGCACACCACAGTGCGAATAACTAAATTGTATGAGTGTCATAGTTACTCCATAGAGGAAATTGATGTCCTTTCCGGGTTTAACGTCGAAAATAAGAATAAATCGAGGAAAAAATGGCGGCCATTTTATTTCATTTTATTTAGAAAATAGACCACGTGACAAGATTTTTACTGTTATAAATACTGTTACCTATGTAACAGTACAAAATTTTTAGTCACGTGGTGCACTTGCATTAACAGTAAAAATAACTCTCAGAGGCCTATAGGAAATTACCATTGCGAAAAAAAGTGAGGGGTAATAATATAGGATAGTCCTTATAGGTCTTTTTCTTGTGAATATCAAACTCCCGCAATTCAATTATGGGGCCTATGTGTGATGCTGGTAAAAATATTCACAAACTGTGTACGTAATATGATCGATGAATTAGTTTGTTAATATTGAGACCAGTTGAGGCACCGTTGCAACTGATTTGAGTGCTACTACTGTGAATAATGTGTGTTTATTGGGTGATATCATGCTCTTGAAATTGACAGATTGTTCTCGGGTAAAATGAATATTTGAACAAATCTTTAGTTGTGGCAATATTTTTTTGTATATGGCCAACTTGCTCTTGTTTTGTTATCAGATGGTATAAGTAAATTTTAAAGATAAATAGCAATATGGTGGTGAATAATTTAAAAGAACATTTTAAAAAAATCAATTATAATCATTAAATTATGTTTTAAATGTCATGGATCAGATATTTTAGATTCTACCACCAATCTCACTATTATGGCTCATTCTTTTAATAGTTTTCTTTCAAATGAACATGATTTTATGTTTATTTGTTGTGGAGTGTCAAAGTTATTAAGAAGAAGGAAACTGTATAGTAGTGTTCAACCGTAAGAATAGCCAGGAGACGCCGGTCAGTTTCCGGTTGACGTGTAATGGCCGACAAACAGAAAAAAGAAACAACACCGCCGCCTTTGCTGCTTATGCCGGCTGGTGGTGGTCTAACTCTTACTCCACCTGACCAGCCAAGTCTTTATATGCCGGTCGTACAATCTGAACCCACTCTCTTTGGTGCAGGTGTGTAAATTCACTTAATTAAAACCACACTTTCCAATTGTCTCCATACTGCACAGAATTTTGAATCCAGTCACTTTGACAGTTCATCGAGATAGTGCATTTTTTTTTCATTTCCCCAGCGCAACCCTGCTATGTTTTGCAGGTTTATAGACATTGCACGGGGGCCACCATTAAACCTTGGAAAATTGATTCCTCTTATGAAAATTTGACTGTCAGATACACAGGCGCTAGTCACATAATCAAATATTTTACAGAATCGGTCTATATATGTATATAAAGATATAAGGCCCCAAACGAAACAAAAACATCATGCGGAACAAACAAGAACAATGCTGAAAGAAACGACCAGATCACGGTTATCTCTTACTGGTCGCCATCTGAAAGGATCAATCCAAGCGTTAAAGCTTTTTATTTCATTAAAATTCTTCAAATAGCAAAGAAATGAGTGAAAGTTTCGGAAAATGCCAATATTTTCAATCCATGTCGTTTTCGACGTCCAATCTATTCATGTATACAAACACTATTTCTGGTCGATTTCTACGAAATAAATAGAAAACATCTAAAATTTCGTCATAAAATTCATAAACAAACCTTTTTTCTATCAATCTGCGAAGTCTAAATTGAACTAGAGCCCTCTTTGTACTCAAATATTTAAAAAATATTGGTTGTAGAAGCGGAGGTAAAGTAAAGTGCGCCATTTGAAATTTGAAGTGACAGATAAATGAAGCAAAGAAATAGTATTATACGATTGGTCAATAGTATTCCGGTAATTATCTTAACCAATCAAATCCTTATATAATATTCAGAGTGGAACAGTTTATACATGCGCTATACATGGCGATAAAATACTGTCACAAGCGAGATCCTTGTGTATTTTTTAATGAAATACGTACGAAGAGGGCATTTGATCAGTGAAGACTTCGCAGATCGATAGGAAAAGAGTTTGTTTATGGAACGTACGTGGAAATTCTAGCCGGTTTTTGTTTTTTTCCGTAAAAACCGATCAGAAATCGTGTTTATATACATGAATGGACTGGACGTCGAAAACGACATGAATAAAATATAATGGCATTTTGCGAAACTTTTCCTCATTTTTTTGCTATTTGAGGGATTTTAATGAAATAAAAAGCGTTGGCACTTGGATTGATCCTTTCAGATGGCGACCAGAAAGAGATAACCATGATCTGGTCGTTTATTGCAGCAGTGTTCTTGTTTGTTCTGCATGATGTTTTTCTTTCGTTGGGGGCCTTATATCTTTATATACATATATAGACCGATTCTGTAAAATATTTGATTATGTGACTAGCGCCTGTGGTCAGATAGGCTTACACTTGGGTTGAAAACAGAAAAGATTGTGGTTTCGGCTAACTTGATTTATAATAAATTATATGGGAATGTGAAAAGGTCCAGAGTGAGACCACTTGTGGTTAAGCTTGCCTTGCTACATACAACATGTATATTTAAAAGGAAATCTAAAACTGTTAAAAATATATAGATTTCCAGCCTAAGAATAATTGTTGAGGTATGCCGATTGAAAACGGAAGCGCTTTACAAAAAAAAATAGTATTTCACCAATCACTTTTTTTTTCATGTATATTATTATTAATAACACACCATATTAGCTATAAAGCTTGTTTAATGTTACTTTCATGAAAATTACTTGTTGTCTTTAAATTAATGGAACATCCACTGAGAAATGAGTAAATCACACAGGGAATTCCCCAGGATTTTTTTTAAGTGCTACATTTTTTAATTAGACGGGGATGGGTGCGGGAGGTGGTCTTGACCCCCATACCGCGTGTCGAAAATTTTTGCCATTTTAGGTCAGGGTTCTCACTAGGACTTTAAAACATGGAGTCCATGGACTCCCAACCCTGAAAAAGTTGGAGTCCAAAAGCGCGTCGCAATTAATATGTTTACAGATTAGTCATATAATGCTCACAATAGTATTGCTGATATTTTGAATCTTCAAGAGACTTCCAAAGTTTATAGTTATTCAAAAGAAACTCTGAACTACATAGTAAAATTATTGTTTTGTTGTTAATATTTATTATGAAATTATTTCATTATAATTCATCAACACATGGAAATCGTTTTTTTGTTGTTTTTTTTTCACTTTTATACCAAATCAAATTTTATTCTGGTTAAATAAGTCCACTCTAAAGACAAAAAGTTTATATTTGTAAAAAAAAAAACGTAAATGTATATAGGCAGCGTTTAGCGGAATGAATAGGAAAATCGTGTACAGCTTCACACAGTGTGTAAGAGATTCATCCGATCGACAATTATTTTAGCAAATATCTTCAAAAGGGGGCAAATTGAAGATCGATATTTAAAGATTTAATGTTGATTAAATAATTAAGGGACAATTCTTTCGCATGTTTGGCTTGGAAACCGATAATTTTTGCGAAATTTGAGGGTTTCTGACGAACGTGAAATCGCCGATGTTCGGGATAAAACCTAAATATCAAATAAAAGCGTATGTGTATTTTGGTTTGTTGTCCTGGCATTTCGGCACAATATCTTAAATTCTTAATACTCTTATAGAAAGTTTTTGCAAGAATGAAACTAAAGCAAAATTGTGCCTTGAAAATGCCGAAAATATTCGATAATAATTCAAAATTACATTCATTTGTAATTTCAGAAAACAGTCTTTAAACTTGCGGCGTACATAGTCGATAATTTTATCCTTTTGTCCGTAAATTTTGCTAATTTCCAATCAACTGATGCTCAAAGATATAAAATTATCACCTGTGTTATATCTGGGTAATTACATGTACTGAACAGCGCGTGTATACATTAGTCTGATCAATTAGCGTGATTATGATCGGAAGCGTTATCGCTGATTGGCTAATCGCTTCACGGGTCGATGTGCATAGGACCGCCTATCTATAGACTGACACGCGCTGACGCATTTGTGTATTTGTGGTTGTAAACAATCGGTAATGTTTATGCGTCCCCAGGCAAAATTAAGCGTACGTGGAATCCTTGCTCTGAAATATTTGCGTCCTGCTGTAATAAACATGCGTACCGGGACGCCGAAATAAGCGTCCCCGAGAACCCTGTTAGGTGTCAAGATACTGCTGTGGGCTGTTTTAAGACAAATAATGAAAGCTTTTCACTTGATAAACATTTTCTTAATTTTTATTATTTACCTTTCCATTTCCAATAATTCAAATAAATAAACAGTTATATATAAACACAAGTTCACAACATGTGATCAACATTTATATGTATGTGTGTGTCCCGTTTAAATGAGTATATTTCAGTTGTTTTTTCTTCATTAACATCATTAAAAGTGGGCCTGTCTTCTAGGTTTGTTGTCCTTCCATGCCTTGACTACCTTCTCAAAGTTGAAAGATTCTAATGGGGGTCCTTGAAGGGAGACGGCAAGAAGATAGTTTAGAACTTTAACAGAGAGACAATTCCTTTTTTCAGTCTTAACTCTCTTCAGGCAGTTGAATCCTCGCTCACAATCTGAAATTAATAAATGAAAGACTTTACTTTAAGTAATCATTTATGTTTACCTCATGTCTTTTATTTATATTGTTTGTTTGCTGTGAATATTTGAAAATTTAAAACTTCCAGCCTGTTTAAACTTAACTGAGTAAAAATATTTATATTTGAAATGTTGAAAAACTTCTAGCAAAGTGTTACACATCTGCAACTGTCATTGGAATTTCATAAATGGTCAAGAATGAATGAATTTAATAATAATTACCTGCAGTAGTGGTTGGGAGGAGGAGACCCACAGCAGCAATTCTGTAAAGAGCTGGATGACTGGTATAAAGTTTGCCAGTAATCCAGGTCATGGTCTGGTCGGCTGACTGATCAGTCCCCTCTAGACTGGCACGTACCTGGTGCCAGTGGCTGCGGCACTGCTCCATATCTGCACCAAAGTACCTGGCCAGCTCCTGTATGTCCTGACAAACCAATGCTAAGCCTAAGGGGTAGGACAGTGGATTGCACTTCACAAAGCTGTCCATGAACAGGCTCGATTAAAGAGGGCCTGCAAAATTAACTTTTTTTTTCATTTTGGGGATACAGTGAACAGAGACAGATTACAAGATTTTTTTAATTAAAAAAGAAAATGACCAATTGGCTGTCACTAAGTGGGATTGTTGATGTATAGTTTTCGTTGTTGTTTTCACTCAGTTGCAAGTTGATAATGTACAGTCGTAAATGTTTTCAATGTTAAAGTAGCCATCAAACAAATTTATTTCTGAATAATCTAAGCAGATTAATTCAAGTAAAATACGATTATCATGTATATATTAAAAAGCAAAATGCTCCTGAGACAGTTTCAATGACATTGCTCACAAAAAACTCTTAAAATTGATAGTGAACTAGGCTTCCCTTTTTCATGTTAGACATATTATTTTTTAAAATCTTAATACGGGGAAGTCAAAGACCGGGCCCGTGAAGCGGGTACGGGCTTTGGCTTGCCCGGCTATAGACTACACGTGTATATTTAAAAGAAAATCAAATAAAAAACAATTAAAAAAATATATAGAATTCTATACCTAGTATACTATTTTCAGTCGGGCGCCGCCATTTACAATGTAACTCAATGATTATAGGCGGGGTATTCCGATAACGGAACAATTCTCAACTTTTCGGATTAGTAATAATCGTCGAGTGTTCCGAGTGAAAACGGAAGCGGTGTATGTAATACCGAATGAAACCTTTAAAACGGAAAGAATGAAAGGATTTTTTAACGACTTCCCCGTTCATAAGCTTTGCCTAATTTCATATTACTACAGTACTGCTTAGACGTAACGATCATAAAAAAGTGAAAGATGAAATTGAACATTGCACTTATATCAAGACAATTAACTCATTCATCCCTAAATATCAAACTGTTATATCGCATGTCAATTAACACCTGAAAGTGCGCTAACAGTCGTCTGCAGACATCGATGACAGGTGTCTGTGACGTCACACAGTCTAAAGGCAATTGTGTATCGGGATGTGTATACGCCTCGGGTAATTATCTACACAGGACATGTATATTGGCTTGTTTATTTGGCTAATTGGGGTTAACTTATAGACACAATAGAAAGAAATAATGGTCATTTTTAAAGCGCTATGATAATTTTAAGCGCATCAGGATTTCTTGTTCTGAAATTTTAGCGCATCGGTGCCGATGCGCTAAAAGCGCCTGGGGAATTCCCTGTCACACAGTGCTACAGATAAGCAGCGTATCTGCGTAATTACCCAATAATTTTGACCAATTTACCCAAATAAAATAAAATCTTTGCGTTATAAAAACGCAAATCAAAATATCAGTACCCAATTTGTTTTGATACTCTAGCGTATTTTCAATATCTTGGACCATAATTCATCTAGCAAAAAGTGCCAAACAAATCCGAAAATAGCCTGTTTCCCTTTCTGTACTTTCGTTTTCTATTTGTTAACCGGGAACAATTGAGTAGACTGGTTATATTAAAGATATTTTTTCGCGGAAAAGCTTTATATACTTATGAGAGATAACTAAATAGCAGTCCAAACTGAGGTTTATTTACTTTCTGCTTCAACAAAATGGCGAAACGGGGCTGATAAAAATTAATTATTTCAATGCAGTCTAACAAAATATTTGGTTATTTTACCAAGCCAGATGTTGTAAAAAATTTTTTAAATGAACTTTTTAGACAATGTTTGTTTACAGTCTTTGCGTATATTGTTTCCGAGATCCTGGACAATATTTTGACCGATGCAAATCTATGCCAACCAATAAATTTTTCAATGATACCCAATTTTGTTTCTGTGTTACCCAATTGCTTGTCAAGTCCAGGGGTAAATACCCAATTAACTCAAAAGCTTATCTGTAGCTCTGGTCACACAAGCCCAAAATCAATTAAAGAAGCATTGCACTTTTCTATCTAAAAGCAAAACAAAAAAAGACAGCAGATAAATGGTGTTTGATTAACTAACGGACATAACTTAAGTTTGAAGCTTTTACTACAACTGTAATGGCTAATTGTGTTTACATATATTTGGGATTTATACCCCAACATGAACGTTATAACAGGGTTGCAGAGTTTTCCCCCAAATTTAAACATGCCACACTTTTTTCCCAATCGCAAACAAAGAGATTTTTTTTTTTTCATTTCAGAAGATGATGGGCTTGGCGAGGCAGACAGCTTTGTTGGTCAATCACCCCCTCAACCAGTAGGTGTTCCACCAACCTCAACAGTGTTAAAAAGTAACTCTGTCCCACAGATTGGTCCTGGAACCCCAGTTAGACCTCAGGCTAGTCGACCACCCCAAAACATGATGCCACCACTGGCACCCACTTCACAGGTTCCTTCATCAGGAAGCACCATGTCTACGGTTCCACCTATGCCTAATGCAAGTGGTAAGTCATAAAACTACAAGTATCAGTGTCAACCAGGGCTTTTTTTCCTTCTATAGCAGGGCCGTTATAGGGCTGCTTCCCCAAAGAAAAATTCTTTTTTTCCCCAAAAACTGAATTTACATCAAGCCTTTTCTTCCCCTTTTGCAAATATATCGTGTAATTTTTCCCCAAAATTAAACCTAGGGCTGCTTCCCCAACCTGAGAAAAAAAGCCCTGTCAACTATACGTGTATTTGAATCAAATTAGATTATTAATCATGTGGCAAACCAAAGAATGTTTTTCAAATCATGTTATCCAAATAAAAACTTGTAAAATCATGAAAACAAAATTAAGATGTTCGTTTAGTGACAGATTTACCGGTAATTAACATGGATTATGATGGCATATTAAGAGTGGGTAGAGGTTACAGAAAATTGAATAACATTATCAAAACTAACGGGTTACCATATTGAACCAATATAAGGGTCATCTAGAGCTGTCATCGATATCAACAATATCGATGTATCGTTGATATTTTTTTGTCGATCAATAATCGATACACATTTTAAAAAATCGATACTTTTGACTAATAAATTAAATGTCTAGAAATTATAAAATTCACCAAAAATATATACAGAAGCAGTAATTTATATCTAATGTTATGCTTTTGTTATATAGTGGAATTATTTCATAGCAATGGTGACAAAAATATTGTCTGGAAAAAATCATGCAGTGGACAAGACACTGTACAGAACATGTTTTTGACTGAAATCATTGAAACAGGTATGAAAGTGAATGACAGACAAGTGAGTATAGGATATTATCGATATATCGGTGTATCGTTGATTTTAGTCACTTGATATCGATATATCGTTGATATGCTTTGCACTGAATCAATGACAGCTCTAGGGTCATCTAATGTAGGTAAACTAATATCAATAGTTGTTTAATGAAATCAATGGATTACGACAATTGTAAGAATAAGTTTGCTTGTGATGATAATTGCAACTTGTATGAACTCTAAATAAAACACATTTACCATACAAGTGTGTAGAGGAGCAGCAATTACAATGGGAGCTAGAATGCATAGATTCCTACATGACCCTAATCGGTTTTATTTAAATTTGTATTATCAGATTAGTGGATAATAATAAGAATTTCACCACAAAATATTTCTTAACAAAAGAACACATGTCAATTTTTTGGGTTAAATCTATTGTTATTCAAATAAAAGGTCAGAGTAGGAATCTATCAATTAGGATAAATGCAATACACATACATTTTATTATATTGATGCAACAGATACTTTATTGTGTTTCAGGTTTATCAAGTTTGTATCGCAAGCATGGCTCTAGCAGATATGCTCCAATGCCATCTGGGACATACTCCACCAACTCACCAGCCAATTTGATGTCAAATCCCCCAGCTCCCACACCTTTCTCACAAAATTTCACAGAAGCTGCCATGCTTGAACCGTCATCGTCCACACCTAATATTCCTCCAGCGACGCTACCCCCTCAGCCAAGTATTGGTCAACTACCTGGCATGGGATATGTTGCTAATGCTACAGGTTTGCAATTTAATGATAATATTAATTTTAACTGATCATTGAATAAAGATATTGATAGTCGATGGCAGTATAAACCTTATGGTTCCTAAATAACTTTCAATGTGAAGATGGTGCCTTCCAGGATGTATAGAGTACAAAAATTGATTTTAAGTATGCTGTTTTCTGTTTCAATATTATAATAAATATTAATGTCATTACAATTTTATATGTAAAACTATGTAGAGCTGTAATGGATCAGTTGAGGGAGAATAAATGAGCCGCGTCACGACAAAACCAACATAATGGGTTTGCAGTCTGATCAGGATCCATGCTGTTCGCTTACCAACTTTATTACAAGTAGAGAAACTGATAGCGAACAGCATGGATCCTGATCAGACTGCGCAGATGCAAACCCATTATGTTGGTTTTGTCGTGACGCGGCTCAAATAAAAAAAATCAATCACTCATGAACATCAATAGAGAAGAATGTTCCCCAACAATCTATTCAACTGCTAGTCTTTAGTTAGACTTTAAAAAAAAATAGGGAGAGCTATTGCACTTGATCCGGGTTAAACATTAGTTTTTGCTTGTAAGTTTGTATTTCTGGAACTACTAAAGAGAATGGGTTGAAACTTCACACACTTATTTGAGAGCATTATAGGCTACTGTCCTAGGCCCATAACTCTTAACATGGATAATGACAGTCACACAATTATTATAGCCCTTTTTGAAATTAGAAAATTCTACATTATCCAGGCCCACGTTTACTGTATCAAGCATTGAGAATAGTTAAGCTGTAATAAGCACACTGTCTTACTGACAGATCTTGTTGTAAGGCCTTCAAAGATATGCACTTGCCTGCTTTCTCTGTATGATACAAACATTATTCCTCCAATGTAGAATTTTATTACATTCTTCTGACTACAGACAAGCTTGATTACTTGAAACATTTAAAAAGATAGGTAGTGTCTAGATATTGTATAGGAACTATACTGGAATTGCTGTGTTTACTTATTCAGGTACATATATCCCAGTAGCCCATCACTGGTGCTTTTGTAAGAATGTTGAAGGACGTGACATATGGTATCCATTGTCAATGGCAGATAATCTTGCTTTGGAGGATGCTTTTAAATCAGGTAAACAATACTTACTGCAAAATCATTATTATTTGTGGGGCACTAATTTACATGGTTTTCGTGGATAGGTCAATCTATGAATTTACATTTTACCTTTTGGAAAAGCAATTAGCCCACGAAATTTAAGTACCCACAAAAATGTTCTTTTTAACAAAACCACAAAATTTCATGTTCACGAAATTAAGTGAATTTACAGTAATCTGTTCTTCAATGGATTTTTCTGTCTTTAAATCTGAACGTCCTGTTTCTTTCACATGAATTGTGCATCATGTTGATTTCTATTAAAGGTCAAGAGAGTACTTTAGTGAGTACAGATGGTGGGAGATATGACGTGAATCTGTCAGAGAGACGTCGTTATGCTGTGTTCTGGGAAGAAGAGCCGAAGGTCATTCAGAGATGTAGCTGGTTCTATAAACGAGAGGGGGACAACCGCTATGTTCCATATGAAGAAAAATTTGCTCTTCGCTTAGAGGTTTAAACTTTTTTGTTTTTTATGCATAATCAAATCATTGGAAGTCAGTACATAACAAACTCTCATTTGTTGCTGGATTTCTTAGATTTATTGAGAAACCATAAGGAAGTTTAGGTTACTAAAGCATTACACTGTAAATTGCATCACTATTTCTTGTGTCTGTAAAAACTGTTACATATATTTTTCAAATTAAAAAGAAATTCTTCAATTTAAAGTGACATTATGCTCATTCAAGGGTGGTGAGTGAATGGGTGAAAGTCAAAATAAGTTTTCATTTTGCCATAATTCCTTTTAATTTAATAATTAAGTTCGCATAAACAATAAATAACTAATAGATCCAAACAAAATTTCTGTAAATATCCATAAGGATTTACCTATAAAGCTTAGTTTATGAAAAGAGTGGGGGAGTCTTTTTAAATTTTAGACAGATTTATAATTTTATCCTTAACATTTTCCAATATCAACTGTTGGTCAAACACCATTTTGACAGTCAATCTTTTTAAATATAAAGTCAATTCAGCTCAACTTGACCATAAAAATATGAGCATAATGTCACTTTAAAGTAAATACTAAAATACAAAATTTTAAAGAAATACAGATTTTTAGCTCGACTTTTCTATGAAAAGGGGAGCTATCCTACTCGCCCCGGCGTCGGCGTCGGCGTCACACCTTGGTTAAGTTTTTCGTACCACCCCACTTTATTTCAGAAGTATTACAAGTATGGCTTTGAAACTTACCATACTTGTTCACCATCATAACCTCCATCTACAGACAAGAGTACATAACTCTGTCAAGGTTTTTGACAGAATTATGGCCCTTTTTTGACTTAGAAAGTGTATTGAGCTTGGTTAAGTTTTTTGTACCACCTCACTTTATTTCAAAACCATTGGAGGTATTGCTTTGAAACTGACCATACTTGTTTACCATCACGACCTTCATCAACAGACAAGAGGACATAACTCTGTCAAGGTTTTTGACAGAATTATGCCCCTTTTTGACTTAGAAAATACATTGAATATGGGTAAAATCCACTTATTGCCTTAACCCTTTGAGATATTGCTTTGAAACTTTTAATGCTATTTCACATCATTACCCCCATCTGTACGCAAGAGAAGGTAACTCTGTCAAGGATTTGTTTTAAAAATTAAGCCTTTTATCGACTTAGAATCTTGGTTAAGTTTTTAGTACCAGTCCACTTTTTGACTGAACTGTTTGAGATATTAATTTGAAAGTTGGAATACTTGTTTACAATCATGATTCCCAAACATGTCCAGGAGAAGGTAATTCTGTCAAAGATTTTATTTGAATTATGGCCCTTAACTGTCAATGTTTTGTATTATAGGCAAGCACTAAAAAACTTAAAAAATCTAAAAAAATTCATTCCTATCCACTTGTTCACTTTACCATAAATTATGTCATAATAAAATAATTCTTCACTAAATATCTTAATGCTCATGGCCATTGTTCACTTTAAAAATACAGAGATTCTTGTATTGCCTTTTACTGCAAAAACTTTTTTTATTGGCAAGCAATAAAAAAGTCGAGCGCGCTGTCTTACGGACAGCTCTTGTTATCTAAGAAACTATGCTGCAGGAGTGTAATAAAACCATTTAATAAAAGCGATATTACACTAGTATAACATTTTGACATTGACAACATTTGCATTCTAAACAAAAATATGTGTGTCAATGAAAAATGACTCTTTTTTTCTAAACTTTGTCCTTTTGAATATGTGATAAATTAAATATTACATTCATGTAGATTTAATACTAAATTTGTTGAATAAAACAATATTATGCTCATCACAGGCTCTCAGGATATGATTTTATTAAACTTGTTCAATAAATTTAGTATTAAATCTACACTCGTTAAATATTCTCTGTATACAGTTTGTTTGGTTATTTTATGTGTAGGGTTTAATATTCTTGTTATTTAACTAAACAGGAAGAATATAAGACAGCAGTTACTAGTGGAGTTTGGCATAAACCGATACAGTTTGAGGGTGGAGAGTCGGTTGTGATGCATAACCCTACAGTAATGGTACATTATCAGGCCTCGTCCCAGCCTGACGAGTGGGGAACTGTCCAGGTATTCATATTCCTCTATCTGAAAGCTATATATTAGTTGTTTAACATAGCTATTAGGGGCCTTCATGATTAAGGTAGCTGACTCGGAATCACTTGCACCTAACCATTGTGGGTTAGAATCTTGCGAGGGACTTGTGGATTCATATAATGAAGCTGTCCAGCTAGCTGACAGAAGGTCTGTGGTTTTACTTAGCTGCCAGCTTGTGTCTAAAATAAATGTATTTCAGGGCACAGGTTTTTGTCCTTCAGTAAAGCTGGAATGTTGTAATATTACCCCCAAACAGCATTGGTGTAACTTAAAAATCCAATCAATCAGTCAATCTGACATAGCTGTTGTACCTCTCTGTAGAGCTGTTTTGAAGGTATGTGTGTATTTCAAGGATTATGTGATTGATTATTTCCAGAAAAAATTAACTGCAACTAGGAAAATAATGTTTTATAAGAGATTATTGAACTTATAGGTTATATTATGATAAATGTGTATTCTCAAGTGGTTTTGAATAAATTTAATGCTGAAAACTGCCAATATATATTACTAAATACATATAAATATATACACTTGAGTAATTAAAAGATTGAATTCAAAAGATTAATGTTGCCTCATCCTATCTTGTATTATGTGGGTGGGTGCTTGAAGGGTGTTGAATTTTGATTAAAGTGATTTTAAGATTTTCTCTGCACATCTAATGAAAGTTATTTACTAGAATAAAAGATGTATGTTTTTAGCATGCTGTATATGTATATTTCTAGTTCAAGAAGTCATTTTAAGTAAAGTTATAAAAGTTACATAATACTGTTTTTATACTAAATTCATAGGGTGTCAACATAGGGTCACCTGAGGTAAAAAATCTTCTGTCATAGTATTTTAGCTAGCATGGTCCTCTCCTTTGTAACAGAACTGACTGAATTGCAAGTAAAATATGTAGTTGTTATACGACTATTAATCATGGACTTTACACAGTATATATCATAATTATCATGCATATATCATAATTATCATGAACTTTACATGGTATATATTATAATTATCATGCACTTTACATTATGTATATCATATTTAATGTGGACATTAATTTTATGATAAATGTTGTGGATGGATTTTATATGGTTTATCACAATTGTCATGGGCTCTGCATGATTCATCATAATAATCATGGATTTGACATGGTATATCATAATTATCATAGACTTAAAACATGGTTTATCATACTTTTAATGAACTTTACCAGGGCCAAAATACCCTTCTTTGTAGTGGCCCAATAAAGGCTGCTTCCCCAATCAAACTAGCTTCTTTTTTCCCAAGTTTGGTCCTCAAAATTCCCCAGTCTTTTGAAATTTCCCATAGAATTTAGAACAAAATTAAATGAGGTCTTTTACTGCCTAATTAGTATTTCCCACTGCTTTTTGCTGTCCTATTTTGAAGAACATTCCCACTGCTTTTTGCTTTTCTATTTTGAAGAATTTGTTAAAATTTTGTGTTAAATTTGAGAACCCTTTTCCCAAAGTATGCTAAAAGCACGAATATTTTCCCCAAGAAATAGGCCGAGGCCCCTTCCTCAAAAATGGTGTTTTGGCCCTGTTTACATGTATTATCATAATTAGCGTGGAGTTTAGTTGATTTATCATAATTATCATGGACTTAAAATGGTATATCATAATTATCATGGACTTCACATGTATTATCATACTTATCACAGACTTTACATGTATCATAAACAACTTTTGGATTCATATATGGAAAGCAATTACCTTGGAAGGGCAAAGTGTCAATAACTTTGATATGGCAAGTACATCTTGATCATAAACATATGAAGATGATGTTTTTTCCGGGTTGGATTTTTGAGCATTTTAGCACACTCTTCAAAATGATGTCTGATTTTAAGGAATCCAAAAATTGTTTGATGATTTTAAAGAATCCATTTGTGTGTTGTTTTGTTTTATTATCATATTATGAAATCACACACACCAGATGCAGAAGTTACTTGCACTTCTGTAAAGTTCTGAAATGTCGTAAATGTATTCTTGTTTGTTTTGTCACCCCAAGAACTTTTTTTGTAACAGTCCTATCTAACTTTATAAAGGGGGTTTGGGGCATATAGATTTCAAAGGGTGGAAGATGATGCAACCATGTCCTATAGATACATTTATTATGAAATTATTTTAAGAGTACAGTAGGGGGACAGTACTAAAAAAAACACAACAAAAAACTAAAAAAGCCAAAAACAACAAAATTCATAGTAGAGCCTTTTCAATGATTTAAACAGGGCTCTCAGTAGTGTCAGAAGTTAATGAGTAAAATCAGTTTATTTTTTGTGTCATTAAACTACACAAATCATTTTCCAGTTACGATAAATTTAAGCTGATTTTTGTAGAATTAAAATCATGAGGTACTTAAGAAATATGACGGTCAAACATTTGTGTATCTGTTGTTGTTGTTTTTGTATTGTATAAATGCTCATCTGATTGTTGTTTTCCCTCTTTTATATTGTCATGTTGTGTTTTTATCCTGTATTTGTGTGAATATTTTTCTAGTGATTTTCATAGCATTTGAAGATTTCATAAGGCATGTATTTATTTTGTTTTTCCTTTGCTCTGTGAATATCTAAATTTTTCCTTTTTACATGCAGGCCATAGATTTGATTTAAATTTGTACTATATTAATTAAAATAAGAGGAAAATGGAGAAGTACAACACGTCCTCAGAGCTGATTTATTTTCTTTTGGTTTCGGTTCTATCAAAGTATTACGTAATTAAGAATAATGAAAGAAAATTGATTATTTATTTCAAGCGGCAGGTCTCCAGGTTCATACAAATTTTCAAATTTAAAATCATACAAAATTTTCACATTTTAAAACATCAGCAATGAAAAACAACATGCATGTTAAGTCAGTCAGAAATGCCATGTGTGAAATTCCCTTGATCCTTGTGAAAACCTTCTCCTAGAACATTGTTATATATGTGAGTGACATGTTTGATGAAGTAGTATATTCATGTGATTTCCTGCATGAAGTTTAGTTAAAAGTTAATGAATATTGAAATCTTAAAAAAATTTAAATTTCAAATTTTGAACATAAAATAAATAAATTTGGTAACTTTTATCCATATCGCATTGTAGTTCAATCTCATTGGCTTGTTAGAGAATTGGCAAAATATATATTTTTTTTTTTTGCATAAATTTTTTGTATAAAGTTATATTTAATTTTCAGAGTTATTTAAAGTCTAAAGTAGGTTGTGTATTGAAAGTATTATATTGGTATTAATTAATAGATTCTGTAGAAAGTACATGCATTACATCGGTTTGAAAGATTGCGTGTAAAAAGTTGGGTTTGATTCCTTGTAAAACAGATGATAAGGTTGGCATTTTTATACGGAAAGTGAACAAGACTAATTTGTATAGTGGTAGAAAACAAACTTCTCAAACCTAATTTTTGTATAAGCAATTTTGATGTTATTTATCCTTGTAAAACCACATAGCATAATGAATTATATTGTTGCATTGCAATTTAATACTATAAAAAAGGAGTATGGTTCATACACCATACAACTTTAAATTGGAACCAGTAGTTCTTTTATATAAAACACTAGAAATAAAGTGAAAATCATTTGTTATTCTGGGTTTATGTATTTAATATAGGCTGAGGGGTGGCCTAGTGGTTGTGGTGCCTGCCTACCAAGTTCAAACCCAACCCAACGATTGCGGGTTTAAACCCATGGATAACGGGTTCAAACCCAAGGATTGCAGGTTCAAACCAAGGGGTTCCGGGTTCAAACCCAGGGATTGCGGTTTCATTCCCTATTTGGTTCCGAACATTTTTCATTATATGACACTAGTATTGTTTAGTTCCTGGAAGCCGACTAACACATGTTTGTAATAAGAATTGAATTAGTTGCACACTTATTTGTAAATATAAATGTTTAATCTAATACAGGGTGAACAGATGCGTCCACGTGTTGTGAAGAGGGGAGTTGAAGATTTTGAATCAGTAGACGAGGGGGAGTCAAGACAGGTGGATCATCTAGTGTTTGTTGTACATGGTATTGGTAGTACATGTGACTTCAGGTTCAGAAGTATTGTAGAATGTGGTACGTTATATTTATTTTAACAGAAAATTTAAATGTTCTTTTTCCCCCAAAAAAGGGTAGTTATTAAGTTATTTCAAAACACATGAAGAAAAGTTACTTTAAGTTACTTGTTCAATACTGTTAAGTTTTATAAGGTCAGAAAGGATATACATGCAATTAAGTTAATTGGAGTTATCATAATGCATGGATGGGTAGGCTGGCCTGGCTTTATACAAGTGACAAAGGCTACCAATCTAGCAGGTTATTAAGATTGATGGTTGTTTGCAGGTGCTTTCCAGGTTCTAAAATATTGCACTAAGGGAGAGGTCTTGATCTACCAGTAAAGCTGGAAAGTTTTCATTTAAATTTCACTGTGTCACTGTAACTTTAAAGCGAGACAATAAAGTTTTTGAAAATGTCCATATGGATTTAAATTTCAATATTGGCAACATCATGATATAAGATTTAACATTTGTTTTTCAGTTGATGATTTCCGATCAATATCTAAAAGTTTGTTGTCTAGTCATTTTACACAGTATGTAGATAGCAATAGAATAGGTCGTGTCGAGTTTCTACCTATACACTGGCATACAGCACTACACGGTGATGCTACAGGAATTGACAAGTAAGCAAGAATTCTGTTTTATTAATGAAGTCCAGTGAGAGTTTGCCCTTACCTTATACCACTTATTTAAGTTTGGTCATTAAAAATATATGGGAGTGTTAGTTATCCCACTCAACCTGCCATCACTGTTGATGGTAGTGTAATGCTTGTTTAGGGTTTTGCATGCAATTTAATATCTCATTAACATATGAAAATAATCAGTTGAAACTGATCACATTTTACTTTGGTCACTAAATGACACTAGTTACTCTGCAGAGGGTTTTTATACAAAATTATCCCCCTGTATTGAACTTCTCTATGGCTAGAATACTGTTTCATTCTCAAGCACTGATAGTTATTGAGCACTCTTTCGATGTAAAAGGTTTCGTTTATAAAAAAGTTTTTGGGTTATGAAATGCTTAAATATTCTTTATCACACAATATATTGAACAATAAAATGTTGAATGTCATTTTCAAGTTTATCAAGCAGTAATATTAAATATGTGAGGGATATTTGCTTGTTTTCATTTAATATGATATATATTTCACTGAGAAGTGAGAAAATTGCTAAAATTTCACCAGCTTGTGGATATTTTCTCAAAAACAAAAAAGTTTGGCAAAGCTTTATCACATGTTATTGATACACAGTTAGTATTATGAATTTCAGACCTAACTTAATTAATCATATTAAGAAAAATTATAATGTTTACATACATGTATGTACATTTTCAACAAAATATGTCATGCAAAATACACAAAGTGTATACAAGGTATGTTATTATGTCTCCCCCACCTCGGGGGGAGACATATTGTTTTTGCCCTGTCCGTCCGTCAGTCCGTCCGTCTGTCCGTCCGTCCATTCTTCGTTTCCGGACGATAACTAGAGTTCCTTTTGACCTACAGCTCTCAAACTTCATAGGATGAATGGTCTTATTGAGCAGATGATCCCTATTGTTTTTGGCGTCAGTAGTTCAAAGGTCAAGGTCACAGTGACCGTTGGTCAATTTCTCGTTTCCGGATGATAACTAGAGTTCCTTTTGACCTACAGCCCTCAAACTTCATAGGATGATTGGTCTTATAGAGCTGATAATCCCTATTGTTTTTGGGGTCAGTAGGTCAAAGGTCAAGGTCACACTGACCGTTGGTCAATTTCTCGTTTCCGGATGATAACTAGAGTTCCTTTAGACCTACAGACCTCAAACTTCATAGGATGATTGGTCTTATTGAGCAGATGATCCCTATTGTTTTTGGGGTCAGTAGTTCAAAGGTCAAGGTCACAGTGACCGTTGGTCAATTTCTCGTTTCCGGATGATAACTAGAGTTCCTTTTGACCTACAGCCCTCAAACTTCATAGGATGATTGGTCTTATAGAGCAGATGATCCCTATTGTTTTTGGGGTCAGTAGGTCAAAGGTCAAGGTCACAGTGACCGTTGGTCAATTTCTCATTTCCGGATGATAACTAGAGTTCCTTTTGACCTACAACCCTCAAACTTCATAGGATGATTGGTCTTATTAATCAAATGATCCCTATTGTTTTAATGGTCAGTAGGTCAAAGGTCAAGGTCACAGCGACCGTTGGTTAATTTCTCCTTTCCGGATGATAACTAGAGTTCCTTTAGACCTACAACCCTCAAACTTCATAGGATGATTGGTCTTATTGAGCAGATGATCCCTCTTGTTTATGGGGTCCTATAATGTAGAATTACAGTGTCGAGATTATAATAATCATCTGAATACATTGGACACTAATCAGTCAACTGTTAAAGGTGGTGTAGCCCTCTTCATTCATCAAGACTTTGCTTATGAACGAATACCCACGGATGCATGTGGAATCGAGTGTGTTGCTGTAAAACTTTTAGCTAAACAACTGTCTGTCTACTCTGTATATAAACCTCCGTCATTGCCGATTAACTTGTTCCTTCAAAAGCTTACCCTTGTCTTGGAAAATTCACCAACAGAAAACTGCATAGTTCTAGGAGACTTCAACATTGACCTCATTCAATATTTAGAACATCCATTGACCCACACTATGTTACGACATCGCTTTAAACAAATAATAAACAAGGCTACTACAGCACACAACACACTTATTGACCATATCTACCAGAGAGGCTTGATTGTGAAAACGAGTGGAGTCATCCCAACACACTACAGTTATCATGATTTGACATACATTGAAATTTGAGTTGTCTTTCAATAGTGTAAAAAATCTGACAATATGAACGTTTGTTTCAAGTATCATCAAAATCCTTCAAAGGGTTGAAGAGTTATGGAGCAGACACAATTTCCTTTAATTTCGTTTGTGAAACTATATATGATATGACATTCAAGTGTCAAGTAGACCTTGACCTTGGAACCAGCCATACGAAACATGTACTCTACACGTTCTCTGGATGTGGTGAATTTTTGTTTCAAGTATCTACCAGAGAGGCTTCATTGTGAAAACGAGTGGAGTCATCCCAACACACTACAGTTATCATGATTTTACATACATTGTAATTTGAGTTGTCTTTCAATAGTGTAAAAAAATCTGACAATATGAACGTTTGTTTCAAGTATCATCAAAATCCTTTAAAGGTTTGAAGAATTATGGAGCAGACACAATTTCATTATTAATTTCATTTGTGAAACTATATATGATATGACCATCAAGTGCAATTTCGTTTGACGCCCGCCTGCCATACGCTGATTGAATAACCAGGATTTTCAAAATTGAATACCTGGTTAAAAACAAACAGTTTAGGAAGCATCTTCTCATACAACCTTAACAATAGAAACCATCCATAGACAGCCTTCATTGAAGTGACTACCGGGTATTTACATTATCTTATCTCCATTTCCATTCCTATTTCCATTCACAGTTATTCTCAGCAGTGGGGGAGACATGCGCTTTTTTACAAAAGCATCCTCTAGTTTTTTTATGTTTTGTATTTCTGTTTCAGGAGAATAAAGGCCATAACATTACAGAGTATATCAAAGTTACGAAATTTTGTCAACGATACAGTGTTAGATGTATTATTCTATACTAGTCCTACATACTGTCAGGTAGTTCTTATTTCTATCTTGGTACAATTCGAATTTGATGAATATAATTATAATTGTAGATTCAAAGGAACTCCACTGAAACTTTAGATTTGAATTTTCTATATAGATAAATCTGGGGCATATAATCACTTTGTCCCTTCCCGTCCTATCCCATTTTGGAAACTGGTAGAGATATTAACTTGAAACTTTGCACATCAAAGCAATATCACAGTATGAATATCTCTGTCAAGTTTCATAACTCTCATAGTTCGTTTGACAGAATTATGCCCCTTTTGACTAACTTAGAAAATATCCCCCAAAATGTGCCAAAGTGGCTTAGTATTGCTTTATTGTTAATGAATGAATTGTCTTCATATTGCATTTATATTTCAGTGTATAGCAGATACAGTAGGACAAGAAATTAACAGATTGTATGATTTATTCCTGACAAGACATCCAAACTTCTCAGGTGGCGTGTCAGTGGCAGGACATAGTTTAGGTAATGCTTTAACCCAACACAGCAATAAAGTTCTTTATTGGTTCATCGTAATATATTTCCATCCTACAGATTATCCAAACAGAAAAAAAGTATTGAAGTTTCGAGGTTTTATTCTTCTGAATAAGACATAAAAAAATAAGCTAAAATGGTTTTCTAGCATGTTTGTTCGAAGAAAAAGTCTTGCTATTGTGATCGCTACATCGTCATTGTCATCGATGTTGTTGTCATGGAGCAAAAATTTTAATGTAGCCCATTATTCAAACATTTAAAAATTTATCAACATGAAACTTGGATTACTTGCTTATCATGACAAGGTGCATTTGTAAGACATGAGACATAATTCTGAGTTACTTGGAATTTGTGTCAAAATTGGTTATTAAAACCCTTTACAGACGAGTGTAAACACTACATGCTGTGCTTCATTTGTTACATGAAATAAACTTTAACCTTGATTGCTAGTGGCATTTATTACCAGGCTATGCCAACAGTATAGAAACAGGTCGGTCTGCAATCGCATGCAGTCAGACCTTGTTAAGTCCTTCATATTGCTGGATTAGTGTATTTTGATAAATTAAAAAGTTTTTAAAATAATAAAGAGCATTTCCAAAATTTAAAACAAATCAAAAGATTCTTTAGCATTAAGAGTATATACAGATAAATTCTTTACTTGTTAATAACACAGATAGTATTGAAATTTAGACATGCTTTAATTTTAACAGATGAACCTTTGAAAATTGAAAACCGTAAAAATCTGTTTATATTGAAATTTTTAATAGTATGGATCTTAGATATATTTTACTTTGTTTTACCCTTACTTTAAACAATATGGGAAATGTATTTTTACTTCAATATTTTCTATCCAACTTTTATGTTGTTGTATTCAGGGTCGTGTATACTATTTGACCTACTGCATAATCAAGCGGACCCGACAATGACCCCTGACAGAAATTCAGAGTTGAGCAATGGTAGTCGAGAACTGTCCAGGGAACCTACACCTCAGCCATCATTTACTAGTCAAACAGAGGTAATCTTATCAGTGATATTATTAGGAAAATAGGTGATAAGTTTAGGTGTTTTCCTAATTTACAAAAACATTGAAAATTCCTAATTTTATCTTGAAAATGTCTGAAAATTTGTTAAGTTTTTGCCAACCTAGCATGATCCTTTTAACATTTTTCTTTTGAATATTGGGAAGAGATGGCTTTGATAAGTGATATTATTAGGAAAACAGGACACAAGTATTGGCGTTTTCCCAATTAACAAAATTGTTGAAAATTCCTAATTTTATTTTGAAAATTTCTTGAAAATTTGTAAAGACTTCGGACACCTAGGATGTTCCTTTTAAGATTTCTATTTTAAATATTGGGCCGAGTTGGCTTTCATGACAACTATTCTCTAAGAATTAACTATCAACTACATGTATATTACAGTGACAGGTTTGTTCATTTCCCAATTTTCAAAGGTCATTGTCCTTTAAACTTCCCAATGACAAAGGCATAGGCTTTTGTGAAATAAAGTAAAAAATTGTGCATGGATACAGTCATGTATATATTTACACCAATAAGGGCCCTTTTCATGTGGCCAGTCACACATATATTGTCGTTATTTTGTTTGTAAATTTTCATTATAGATACAGAAGAAAACTAAATGCAAGATTTTAATACAAAAGATAAAAGTCAGTGTGAATGATTACTTAAGCTGTAACTGATACTAATGGAAATTCCAGGAAGTTATGCAAAAAGAAAAATGTCTGTCTTGAATGAATTGAAAAGGGAAGATAAATTGAGAGTGAAAATATTGAGCCGAGTCACGACAAAACCAACATAATGGGTTTGCGACCAGCATGGATCCAGACCAGCCTGCGCCTTCGCGCAGTGTGATCAGGATCCTTGCTGTTCGCTTACAAACCCTATTACAAGTAGAGAAACTGATAGCGAACAGCATGGATCCTGATCAGACTGCGCAGAGGCGCAGGCTAGTCTGGATTCATGCTGGTCGCAAACCCACTATGGATGGCCTAATGATGTCTAGCTCTCAGTCAACATTGTAAAAACAAGTAAAATTCCAGCAAAAAAAAAAAAAAAATCCAACCTATTGAATAAACCGTTTTGTTACTGAGTGTGATTTTTTTATAACATTTTTTAGTTATTAATAAATGTGAGTTTCTCATTGTTTTAACAGAGTGAAGTTGAGCCAACTGAGACTGGGGACCAATTACAAGAGGAAGATTCTACTCTAACACTGGCCGAATTGCTGTCAAAAGTTGGATTACAAGAAAAACTGTCATTGTTTGAGCAGGAACAGATTGATATGGAGTCATTGGTAAAATGACTTGTTTATCTTTTCATTTCTTTCAATTTCATTAATGTTATTTTAATTTTGTACTGGGATCAAGTTACATTTGTATTGAATGTTTGCTTTCAGTCTTTAAGGATGACCAAAGACCATGTCTTTACAGGATAAATACTGGTAACTAGTGTTTACATGACTAAAACCTATGTTTTTCATGATTAAATCCCAGTATTTACATAACTAAAACTTAGGTATTTACATGATTAAAAAATTCAAAATTTACATGGTAAGAACCCAGCATTTACATGGTTTACATTATTTGTAAGGGGAATGATACAGCTACAAGTAATAAATGAATCGTCATAAATAAATAGTAATATTTTATGTGACATATATTAATTATTTGCAGAGTGTTTTCATGTTTATATTTTAGATAATGTGTAGTGAATCTGATCTGAAAGATCTTGGTTTACCGATGGGTCCCAGGAAGAAATTACAGGGTATTCTCAAAGATGAACAAATGAAAAAAGTAGGTTACAAGTAAAACAAAGGTTTAAGGTGTATATTGCAGAGAGTTCTATATGTGGGAGTTTTTTTGAAAGAAGGGTAGAATCAGGGGACTTGAACAAACGTCCTGGTTTGAGATTAATTTTAGATAAAGGAGGGTTCAAATTATGGAGTGTACAGTACACTGTACATATATGACAGTCTACAAACATTTAATAAAATGAATAATGATAAGAAATAACACTTTAGTCAAATTGGTAGTTCTATTTATTTTATTGAAAGAACACTGTATTCGGACACAACTGTTTCGGATAGGAAAAAAGAGACCATAGTTCATGAAAACAAGTATGTGAATATATTTGAATATTTGTCAGGAAGATTTATAACAAATTTATAATACTGCAAACATTGTTTTTAAGAGGAAAATGTCAAATTGATTCATAAATTGATAGCAGCCATATATATAGAACTATATAAACATCAAGATTATCCAATGAAAAGTAACATTACAAACATGCTGTATTATAAATGTATATATACATGTGTATAGATTATCAACTTGCCACATTCCATGATGTCAAAGTAATTTGTGGGGTGTAAATCACCTTCCGTAATAGTACTAAATAATGTTCCTGATTAAACCTAAAATAATTTAAACAAATGACAATTTCTTGAATTCATATACCTCTTAACAGAAAGATTGAAAAAGAATACCTCAGTACCTTTGTTTACATGAAAACTTTATTTTTCTAGGACACGAAACAGAGAAATGAGGTGAAGAAGGCCAAACAGGCCGAAGACGCCAGAATACGAGAGCAACTTGCCGCAGAGATGGCACTTCAACAACAGCAACAACAAGTGTATGTTGATAATTGATTTTGTATTAATGTCTACCCTGTTGAATTTTTGTGATGCATTAAATTGAGTGCTTTTTAAGAAAAGTCCATTGTTTATGTAAGGGATTTAAGTTTGGTAATACAATGATTTAACAGAAGTATAGACCCTGTCCTGCCGATCTTACTGTATACATATAATAGGTCTGTGTACTGGTGGTCATAAGTTTATATAGCCCCTAGTGTGAAAATCTTAAAATTATTGATAGCTTTTCCATAAGACTATGGTTTTTTTTTATGAAAAATGCAGCAGTATTTTAAAACTACTCCAGTCATAAAGTTATGCACTTTTATTCTCATTAAATGTGAATTTTTTCTTTTGTTAGTTTAAGAGCATGTAAGCATCATAATCCATAAATGTAACTGCCAATGATAATGTTATTAAGATTGCTGACTGCATGTGTATAGCATAGACTACTGATAGAATGGCTGGTATTGTAAGGGTTAAAGGAGGTGGGGAATTAATATTATCAAAAAATCTAAATTAAATCTGTATAACCAATGCTCAAAAGTGACTGTACATTTTCAAGGAGCTCAAGTTTTTGTAAAGCATAGTATTGGCTGGGAATATTTGTTAAAGTAAACTAGAACCTGATGATGTAACATGTTTGCTATGATGATAATTGCTACACCTTTGAATGTGTGTTGAAAATAACTTTCACTTTATCTGAGCAAACTGTGTATGTACATCTTGTGTTTGTAAAAGAACATAGTAGAGCTTCTTGCATTTTAGCAAAAGAAATTGCTTCAGATAAGTTTTGGTTTCTTTGGGGAGTTTATGATTTATTGGCATTTGATCTAATTTATTATTTATTTTGAAAGCATTATTTAACCCGTATCATACTAAATATATCTTAAAATGGACTTGTCCTTTCAATCTGGACAGAACCATTCATCATTTTAAAGGAAATATTCAAAATATGAACTGTCTGAATAGCAAACAATGTCGACCATGATCGTAAAGCACAGTTGTGGTCATGCAATGTGGTCTGTACTGGTCACTTAGGAAGATTCTGATTCTGTAGTCATTAGTTAGAAAAAAGCTATTAATAATTCTTGCAGTTAACATTTGCATAAAATATTATCAGTGTTCATAATATATTAAAATGGAAAGAAAAATTTTCTTTTTTTTTTCAGAAATCCACATAAATCTTCAAGTTTATCGGTGGACTACATTATGGGTGTTGGGGGCACTGGCCAGCCTCACATTAAGTTTACCCAGCTCAAGTTCAATCCTGTATGTTGTTTTGCTCTCGGTTCTCCAGTGGGGATGTTCCTGTCCGCACGAGGAGTTGAAAATATAGGAGAAGATTTTAAACTTCCAACGTGTCAAAAATACTTCAACATATTTCATCCAGTAAGTATGGAGTATAAAAAGAACAGAAATGTTTTCATAAATAAATAAGAACTTTATTGTGACAATTGCTTGGCACATTTACTTAAATTACTTCCCTTTATTGTGAAATATCTAACATACTAATGTTATCAAGTAGGTAGTATTTAAAAATTTTTTACTCAAATCTTGAAATTGCACCAAATTACCTCCCTTTAATTTGATTTTAATTTAAAAAAGAAAAAAATAATACTTTTTGAATGATTTTTTTTTCTCAAACTTGAAAACATCTTACATTATTATTACAAATGTTGTAATAAGTATTTCAGAAAATAGTTTTTCAGTAGGTTAATACTTGATGTAAATTAATGAAGAAATTGCATATATAATTTTAAGTGATATTTGAAGTAAAGGTTACTATGATGAAATAGTGCTACACCATTGACTGCTGGTTGAGAAGAAAACACTATACTCTGAGTAAACTTCTTTATGAACATGAATGGATGGCTAGAGTTCAAATTGTAATTCAAATTGTTTTCATTGGGACTTATGTCAAATTGACACAGTATAGGTCATATGGCAATGTTCCAGCTGTACTTAAGAGGAAGATCTCAGGTGCCTTTCAGTGCATATGAGCACCTGAGTAGAACAACCAATCCGTAAGCTAGCTGGATAGCTTCCTCACATGAAAGAATCCAAAGTCCCTGTCAGGATTCAATGTCAACAACCTTAATCACTCTCCTGATTATCCAAATTATATAAAATGCCTGTTGTGTAACACACATGGACATAGTGATGTGTACATTAGAAAATGTCCCCGGATCAGAATATTATGCTACTATTGTAAGTTGGGTTTAAACTGTTTGCCAATGATCCCATGCATGCGCGATTCATTTTTAAGGAAATATACAAATAATTTCTTTTATACATGTATTTTGGAAAAAAAAATTCAAATGTTTACCTTTGATTTTGTAAACTGCAGACAGAAAGTATACAGTAAATGATAAAACAAATTTTTCCTTTCTATTTCAGTTTGACCCAGTGGTATGTATTAGACCTGAAGTCATATATAAATAATTTAATTCTTCGTAAAAAATATTGATACTTCTTTATGTTTACAATTTCTTAGTATCATTCTTTTAATACTTCCATTATTCAGTCATTTCAGGGCTGTTGCAAATCTATAAATTGAGCTGCGTTACGACAAAACCAACATAATGGGTTTGCGACCAGCATGGATCCAGACCAGCCTGCGCATTCGTGCAGTCTGATCAGGATCCATGCTGTTCGCTGTCAGTTTCTGTACTTGTAATAGGGTTGGTAAGTGACCAGCATGGATCCTGATCAGACTGCGTGGATGCACAGGCTGGTCTGGATCCATGCTGGTCGCAAACCCATAATGTTGGTTTTGTCGTGACGCGGCTCATATTATGACTAATGTAGGTATAAATACATTATTTCTGTAATTTTTACCTTTACAGATAACATTTTAAACTTATTTGTGTTAGTTAATTCTAGATTTACAAATGATAAGAGTTGGTTTAAACATGTTTATTTAACATGCGAACAATATTTACAAAATACATTTTGGGATTCAGCAGAAAGCTATAAAGCATATGAGAGTCCTCTCCCTAATGATAGGATTAATTGAAACTGTACATGCATTGCTTTGAATTTAGTACTGTACATTAGATAACTTTCTTTAATTTTATTAGCAAAATTTTGAAATTAACCCTTGACCTGCTGAATTTGGGTCAATTTGGGTACCATTTTAATAACAAAATACAATTTTAATACCAAAATACAGTAAAGAGACTGATCAGCAAGCAGGCCTAGCTCAATAAGGGTGCCAAAGGCTAAACACTTTGCGTTCTAGCTGGTTATGGGTTTAGCAACCAAATGTCTGACCAAGCCTGCATGTCTGCACATACAAGTTATGATATCTGTCAGTGTTGAAAGATGTCTGCGAAAACTACGTATATAAGTGGATATTTCTGTGTTTCGAAAATTTACCCAATTTAAAATTCCATTTATTTCACCTGAGTAAATATATGCAAATCATGCAAGGGTAGAATTTAATGATAGGTTGGTTGATATTTACGCTAGAGGTAATTATAGCCATTTTCATCAATTCACGAAATTGGCAAATATTTCTGCGTGGCTAACTTAAACACTTATACAAGAATCAGTTTCTTCTTGTTTAAAATAGTATACTTTGATTAGTCATGTGATTCATGTATGATATAGAGGATATTTGTTAAGTGCAGTGTAAGATCGGAATATATTTCACCGAGTGAGCACCAAAAGGTATATTTCACGAGTGGCGCAGCCACGAGTGAAATATGAACTTTTGGTGTTCACGAGGTGAAATATATTTTGATCTTACATTAAACTAAACAAATTTTCTTTTTATTATATGCAAAGAAACATTTAAAAAGACATTTTAACCTAGTACCAAATGAAAAGGACGTAATTTACAACTTCACATCATTATGTTGGTTTCCAGTACTGTGAACGCTTGTATTTCACTGAAACAACGTACCAGGACAGTGAAATTATCAAATCGATAATTTCACTGTTAAAAACAGTGAAATTATCAGTTTTTATTTCACTGATATATTTCTATAAACCACCGAAAAGCATGTTATAAATATATGATATATATTTGTTATCTTTATAGGCATACAGGTTAGAACCACTTATTAACCCATCTATAGGTAATATGAAACCAGTCCTGATGCCACATCATAAAGGAAGAAAACGTCTACATTTAGGTAAAAAAATTTATATTGCCTGTGAAACAATGGAAAGATTTAAATCTAACCAGTATAAATGTACTAAAATTACACTGACAGCTGTATATTGGCTAATTAGACTAAATGAAGGTTTAGGCTGGCTTTAATCTTTTACTGTTGGCTTAGAAAGTATTTACTTAAAGCATTTAATTTTATAACAAAAGTCTTTAGGAAATATATCAAAATCCAAGCAAAATTGTGCCTATTTAAGTGTGAAACTTTGATCCCGACTTACAATGGGGTCTGTCTTATAGACAGGTATATACAGTAACAGCTTTGAAATGTTAATGCATTTATCATGATGGCAAATTTTATTGCCACAAAAAAAACATCTATCAAAACAAGCTTAAATTTTTGGATTTCAGAATTAAAGGAGAGTTTAGCTAGAATGGGTACAGACATTAAACAGAAGATCATCGATTCAGTGAGATCGACGTGGACATCTATAAATAACTTTGCACGCGCGCACCAGTCCGATGGGAGTAGTATAGAGCAGCAGGTGGAGTCGGAGATGTCACAGATCAGTAGACAGCTAGAGGATGACGACAGATCTGATACGGCTTGTATGTTATATATACATCCTCCATATAACTCAAATAATTTTCAATATGTTATATATATACCCTCCATATAACTCAAATAATTTTCTATATGTTATATATATATCCTCCATATCCATATAACTCAAATAATTTTCTATATGTTATATATATATATCCTCCATATAACTCAAATAATTTTCTATCGATCATTTCTTGTTGTACAAATTATACTATTAATTTATTTATACAAACTGTGTATTTGATAAAATGACAGTTTTGTAAAAAGCTTTCCCGACTTATTGTTAACATTATGTTCCAGTCATATTTTATAAAAATTGCAGACTCGGTTTAATCAAGTCTGTTTATGAGAGATAAAACCGAGTCTGCAATTTCCATATAATATTGTTGCTTTCTCTGCTAACGAGGGATCACTTCTATTCCAGATTTCTAATATGTTGTGAATATATATATTATATGATGTATATAATCATTATAATGCTGATTTGATATATTTACAGCTGTAACGTCTGGCTTCGAGGAGGATATATACGTAGGACAACTTAACGAGGGTAGACGAGTAGATTATGTGTTGCAAGAGAGACCTATAGAAAGTTTTAACGACTACGTCTTCTCCCTTACTAGTCATGGTTGTTACTGGTATGTATCCAAATATTTGTCTAGATTTTAGTTTTCTTCATTTCCTGATTACTCTGTCTAAACTAAATTATGCATGGCCCAAATGATATTCAAAAGAAGGTACTTAGTTGAATTGGTAGGTTGTTTTGCATGATTTATTGATTTTAGTCAGTTTATTTTTGTTTTCTAAGTTTGATATTTCTTTTGATATTTTGGAGGAGCGACAATCATTGATGTTGTGAGAATTTTGGCCCAACCCTTTTGCTATTTATTATTTAAAAAATTTTTTTTATCTAAATTGTGTTGGTGCACAGTAAAACCAAACCAAACAAACAAAAAATATTTGTTGTTTTTGTTTATATTTACATGTATATATTAGGAATAAAATATGATTAAAATGAAACTTATATTTTCATGTTTATTTCAGGAACTCTGAGGATACTATGCTATTGGTGCTGAAGGAGATTTATGCATTATATGGAATTTCACCACAAATACCTGGTGCCGATTCACAAGCCGCTCAGAGACAAAGAGTGGGACCTCCTCCCAAAGGGCAATTCCCCTCTACTTCCTTCCCAGGGATGTCACCGGGGAATCTGAACAACTCTGCTGTACCTCCGCCCCAGAATTACGCTGCTAACAGCCTCAGATCACCACAGCAACCTCCCAAAATGTTCCCAGTTTCAAATACACCCCCGCCAGGGCCTCCTCAAATGACAATGGCATCAAATCTGCCCCCATTATCTGGGCCTCCTCCATTTAGTATGGGTCAGTCACCGAGAGCAGCTGCTCCCATGGGACCCCCTCCAATGGCTGGATTTATGAAAAAGACTTGATAGTCGAAATATAATTTAAGATTTCAAATTATTAAAAGATTACAAAACTTGTGATAATAAATTATTGCTTTTAAACCAGGTGATGAGCCAGTGATGGTTACAAGAAAATTTAATTGATTCTTAAATATTTTCATCTTTAACCTGCAAATGGGTAATGCTTTGTTTTAAATTCAGAATTGACCAATATGGAATAGGGCAGACAACGATCAGTCATGAACGTGCCTGCTTATCTTGGTCAGCACTGATGGCATGGTTAGAATCATTTGCAACTAGCAGGTTGAGTGTTAGAGTAATTGAATCAGAGTAATTAAATAGACAATATTGACTATCACATACTCAAATTTAAGCTGTGTCATCATACACTCTTACAATGCTTCAAGGTGATGTAGGAGAGTTTGGGAAATTGAACACTTTACTGTTATGTGCGAATAACCAGTGTTAAGGACATGACCGTATTTTGTAATAAAGTTGTAAATATTGAGTATTAGCTTGCCTGCTTTTTTTATGCCACCGCAGCATCTGCGATGCGGTGGCATATAGCGATTCACCTGTGTGTGTGTGCGTGTGTTGGTGTGTGTGTTTGTGTGTGTGTTATATAGATTATATAGTGAACTTAAAAAATCTTCTTGTGAAAAACCACGAGTCCAATTTCAACCAAACTTGGCAGGATTGTTCCTTGGGTGAAGGGCTTCCAAAGTTGTTCAAAGAATTTAATTCCATGCAGCAATCTGGTTGCCATGGCAACCAAAAGGAATTATAAGAATAAATTTAAAAAATCTTCTTGTAAAGACCCAAAAGGCATAGAGCTTAGATATTTTGCATAAGGCATTGTCTGGTAGACCTCTAACAAGATTGTTCAAATTATAGCCATGGGGTCAAAATTGGCCCCGCCCCGGGGGGTCATTGATTTTCACTATGTACATATAGTAAAAACTTAAAATACCTTCTTGTAAAAACCCAAAAGGCCTAGAGCTTAGATATTTTGCATAAGGCATCGTCTGGTAGACCCTTACCAAGATTGTTCAAATTATAGCCCTGGGGTCAAAATCGGCCCGCCCCGGGGGTCATTGGTTTTCCTTATATGTATATAGTAAAAACTTATAGTAAAAACTTCAAAAAAAATTCTTCTAGCAATTGACAAATGCTAGAGGTTAGATATTTTGCATGAAACATTGTGTAGTAAACCTCTAGCAAGATTGTTCAAATTATAGTCCTAGGGTCAAAATTGCCCCCGCCCTTGGGGTCATTGATTTCAATATATACATATAGTAAAAAATAAATAATTCTTATTGTCTGAAGGTACAAGGCTTAGAGCTTTAATATTTGTTAAATAATATCATCTAAAGGTACTCTACAAAAGTTATTCAAATTTTGCCTCTTGTGTCAAAATTAGCGCCGCCCCCGGTGGCCATAGGTTTTCCTTATATATATATATATATAGTAAAAACTTAAAAAATCATCTTCTCTAAATTTACAAAAGCTAGAGTTAAGATATTTTGCATGAAACATTGTGTAGTGAACCTCTTGCAAGATTGTTCAAATTATAGCCCTGGGGTCAAAATTGGTTCCGCCCCGGGGGTCATTGATTTTCATTATGTACATATAGTGAAAAGATAAAAAGTATTTTTGTCTGAAGGTACAAGGCATATAGCTTTGATGTTTGATATATAATATCATTTATAGGTTCTCTACCAAAGTTGTTCAAAATTTTCCCCTGGTGTCAAAATTGGCCCTGCCCGGGGGCAGTGATTCTCATTATGTACACATAGTAAAAACAGAAAATAAAACAAATGTTTTCTGAATGGGAGAAAGCTATAGCTTAGATTTTTGACTTGAAATGTTGTTTGGTGGACCTGTATCAAAATTGTTTTGAATTAAACCCTTGGGTCAAAATTATGCCTTGCCCAAGGGGACAGTGACCTACTTTCTTGTCCTTTGATGTACAGCAATGACATTTTGACCATGTGCACAGTTTTAGTTGAAAAATTGAACTTTGATATCAGGTGACCTAGATTTTGATGATGTGACCTACTTTCTTGTCCTTTGATGTACAGCTATGAAATTTGAACCATGCGGTGGCATAGCATTTTTCTCAAATGCAATCTTGTTTCACTCAACATTTAGAACAGTTGACATTATCATAAGATCTTGCTAAAATTGTCATTTTGTCTAGACTTACATTAGCTTGTCCATCTTTCATAACTTATAGTTCAGACCATGTTCAGACAGCACAGGTGTGCAGACGGATCTTGGTCTGCACTGGTTGCATGGGTAATATTAGTTTCGGCAACCAGGTTAACAGTTAAACAACTCTGAGGAAGTGTCACAGTGCAAGAGTGTGGTATACAATACTGTATGAAATGACAATGGCTTAAGGATCATTATATGAGATTATAAATGGTAAAATGCCATATTTGAAATGCCACCCAATGACTTCACACAATGTTATATAAAACGAGTGCAATGTTAAGAAATAGGTAATAATTTTATCACAATTTAAACAAGTAGTGATAAGTCTTATGATATATATATTTATGAAAAATATATGATAATCAACATTAATTTTTGTCAGCTCTGTAGGGCAGCTGTTAAAGGGACTCCACTGAGGTTTTTTAACTTGACAGGACTGGAAATAGATTTTTGAGATTATTGTTTCTTTTGATGTTTTTCTAGACAAATAACTTTATTTTAAAATCATTTTCTCAGTCCATTTTTCCAGTATAACTATTCTAATTGTGAAAAGAAGACCCAAAATTGAAAAGCGTTGCAAGGGCTTTTTTTACTCAAATTTTTTTACTCAAATTGGGCTAAGAATAGCACAGAAATATGATTTTCACTTTATTTCATAGTATATTTACTTAACTGTCTTAAGTGTAACTTTCTGTATGTAAGAAATTAATTTTTTTATGATTTAGGCTTTTTAACCTCAATGGAGTTCCTTTAACAGAATTGTTGATTTTTAATAAGAATGAAAACAGTGTCATATATTTGTTTGTTTTACACTTAAACCTATGTTCTCATATTGAGTTTCGATTTTCTTTTTATTTTTGCATTTTATGAGAAAATATGTTCACTAGTTTGAAGCAGTTTTCCTGTTTTTGTATGTTATAAAAATGGACCATGCCATACCAAGTTTTTGAAAATATTTCAGCCTGCTTTGAGTTTGTGTTATTTTCTGATTTGATTTGACTTTTATGAGTTTGAATTAACTTAAATGTCTTGTATGTATGTATATATTATTGTTAATTATTTAATTCTTGTTGTTGGCTATGGTGCAGTGTATATTAATATATGATAAAAAAGTATCAAAGTTTATATATTTCAGACATTTTCATACATAATATGTATCAGCATGCAGGAATCTGTTGAATATTATTTGTTTCATTTAGATATTACAAAAATCTGTTAAACAGTGAAAATAAAAATGTGTTTTTCAGTTGCTGGTGCAGTCTTGTTGGCCAAGTGGTTAAGGGCCACTGACTTTAAACCATTGGCCTCTCACCCGTCCCTGAAAATTTGAATCTGTCTAGATAATTTTGATTCTTACATATGGTAAAACTATCCAGCTAGCTTACAGAAGGTCTGTGGTTCCACTTGGGTGCCCCCCTGTGACTGAAAAGATACACAGAGTGGCATAACAGGTCATCCTGCATTAGTAAAGGCGCAAATCTGCCTTAAGACCTTAGTGTTTGTGCGACTGATAAACCCAATGCATTTAGTAATCAATTTCAAGTTATTTTGACTAAAAGTTGTTTTTAGCTCGACTATACGAAGTATATGGAGAGCTGTCCTACTCGCCCCGGCGTCGGCGTCCGCGTCCAGATTTTAGATTAAAGTTTTGGTGCAGTAAAATATTTTTCACTATAACTTTGTCATTTCTTAAGGTATCAACTTCAAACTTCAAATATATGTTCCTTATCATCAACCACATCTTATGTGACAAGGTTCATAACTCTAGCACCAATATTTTCAGATTTATCTCCCCTTGAACTTAGAATTTTCCTTAAAAAATACTATTTGTTACTGATACTTCTTTATTTCTTAAGGGATCAACCTCATACTTCAAATATATGTACCTTATCATCATTCCCATCTTATGTGACAAGGTTCATAACTCCAGCACCAATATTTTCAGATTTATCTCCCCTTGAACTTAGAATTTTCCTCAAAAAATACTATTTCTTACTGTTACTTCTTTATTTCTTAAGGGATCAACCTCATACTTCAAATATATTTACGTTATCATCATCCCCATCTTATATGACAAGGTTCATAACTCTAGCACCAATATTTTCAGATTTATCTCCCTTTGAACTTAGAATTTTCCATACAAAATATTATTTTTACTGTAACTTATTTATTTCTAAAGGGATCAACTTCATACTTCAAATATATTTACGTTATCATCATCCTCATCTTATGTGACAAGGTTCATAACTCTAGCACCAATATTGCAAGAATTATCTCCCCATAAACTTAGATTTATTTTCTAGAAAAATGTTATTTTCTATTTTAACTTTTTTATTTTAAAAGGTATCTACCTCAAACTTCAAATACTTATTCCTTATCATCAATTACATTTTATGTGACAATGTTCATAACTCTTGAAGCAATATTTACAGATTTATCTCTCTTTAACTTAGGATTTTCTTTAAGAAATATAATAACTTCTTTATTTTTTAAGGTATCTACTTCAAACTTCAAATATATATTTCTTATCATTACACAAATGATGTGTGGCAAGGTCCATAACTCTAGCATGACTATTTCTAGAATTATTCCCCTTGATCTTGGAATTTATTTTAACAAATGTTATTTTTTTACTATAACTTAATACATAATTATACATAATTGATTTTTCTTTCATAGTTTTGTCCTCCTTACTGCGTCCAGTATTTTATTAGTCGAGCTTCGCTGTCTCCTGTGACAGCTCTTGTTATTGATTAAGATATGGTTTAACCACAATGTTTTAGATGGTTTTGTTGTTAATTTAAAGTGGTTATTAGCATTATATTGGTGTATAGTTACACCTATTTTGAAGGTATTATTTTATTATTTTACACCTGTTATTACAGGTGTGTTTAATTAGAAACATTTTCTAGCAGTATGTTCATGTCTGCAAATTGAGTTGTGAAAAAAAGAGCAATAGAAGTACTTTGTTAGGTTTTATATTTGTAGGACTTCTCTTTGATAGGGTTTTAAAAATTTTCATCTTAGTCCTTGTTTAAGATTTCAGGAATTGTTTCAGCTATACCTCAGTTATAATTCTTGCACAACAATCAATTCATTAAGACTGCCATGACAGCAAATTGTATATACTGCTCTTGTCTTATTTACACAGCTTTATACTATGCGCAAGTTGTGAAAGCTTTGCAAAAAAAAATCTTACCAAATAACTTGCATGTAACAAAAAGTGAAGCAATTATGTGCAATAGACAGACTCCTGTAATAAAAATGTTTGAAAGTCTCGGGATTTTGTTGTTATTGTTTGAATTATACTACTTGCCCTTCATTAATTTCATAATTTCTAAGACAAATGAAAAACAAGGTCAACATGGATTGGCAGCAATCATTGAACGCATTCTCCAGCACAGGACTACAAGCAAGGAGCCCAGCAGGACAAAAGATGTTTATGAATAGATAAGAAATCTTTGTGTTCTGAAGATATTTTCTGATGATTAGGTGGAGAGTCGGAGAATACCTAAATATTGATTCGCTTAACAAATAAGGGTTTGCTGCTTGTTTATTAGTCCCCTACCGGTTTACCGGAGGGGACTTTAGGTTTACCCTCCGTCCGTCCGTCTGTCTGTCCGTCAGTCCGTCCACAAAACTGGATCCCGCGATAACTTGAAAAGTACTGAAAATATTTTTATGAAACTTGATATATGGATAGATGGCAGTATGGAGATTATGCACTTCTTTTTCTTTTCTTCCTATGTTGAAAATTCTGGTTTCTATGGCAACAAATAGGCTGAAAATATGGCAAATTTTACACATAAACTGGATCCAGTGATAACGCAAAAAGTACTGGAAATATTTTTATGAAACTTGATATATGGATAGATGGCAGTATGGAGATTATGCACGTCTTTTTCTTTTCTTCCTATGTTGAAAATTCTGGTTGCTATGGCAACAAATAGACTGAAAATATGGCAATTTTTACACATAAACTGGATCAAACTTGAAAAGTACTGAAAATATTTTTATGAAACTTGATATATGGATAGATGGCAGTATGGAGATTATGCACGTCTTTTTCTTTTCTTCCTATGTTGAAAATTCTGGTTGTTATGGCAACAAATAGGCTGAAAATATGGCAAATTTTACACATAAACTGGATCCAGTGATAACGCAAAAAGTACTGAAAATATTTTTATGAAACTTGATATATGGATAGATGGCAGTATGGAGATTATGCACGTCTTTTTCTTTTCTTCCTATGTTGAAAATTCTGGTTGCTATGACAACAAATAGACTGAAAATATGGCAATTTTTACACATAAACTGGATCCAGTGTTAACGCAAAAAGTAATAGAAATATTTTTATGAAACTTGTAATAGGTATAGATAGCAGTCTGGAGATTATACACGTCTTTTTCTTTTCTTCCTATGTTGAAAATTCTGGTTGCTATGGCAACACATAGACTGAAAATATGGCAAATTTTACACATAAACTGAATCCAGTGATAACTCAAAAAGTACTGGAAATATTTTTATGAAACTTGACAAATGTGTAGATGGCAGTCTTGAGATTATGCATGTCTTATCTGTTCTTCCTATTTTGAAAAAATATTGGTTGCCTTGGCAACAAATAGGCTTAAAACATGGCAAATATAACAATATTTGTGATAAGTCAAAAAGAGCTGAAACTTTTTATGAAATTGCATCTTTAATTCCAGAGTTATCTCCTCTTTAAGAATTTTGCTTTTTAAAATGTTATATTTTGGTAACAGGGATGTTTCAAATATTAACTTTAGAGTGTCCTTCAGTCCGTCTGTCTGTCTGTTCATAAAAACTTTTTCCTGTGATCACTTTTAAAGAACATTTCCAACAAATTTACTTAAAATAGAGAAAAATTTACTCATTAGTGAATGGCCAATGGCCCTTCAGAATGCTGATGGGGTTCTATCCGGTAGGGGACTTATGGATTGCTTGCAATACTATGACAATTGCTTGTTTATTATATTTTGGTGACATATTATTGCTATTACTTTAAGATATATTAATAAAATACATGTAATTGATGGCCAAAACTGAGAAGACCAAGTGTGTGTTATATTCATTATTATCCAGCTATCTTCTTAAATGTTGGCTTTACTCTGTATGAAATAGTGCACTGAAGGGCACCTGCCATCTTCCTCCATTAATAAAGCTGGAAAACGGTCATATGACCTTTATAACAGTGTCAATGTAACTTACTTTATTACCAATGATGAGGTAGCCACACTGGAATCAACTTTTTAATCTAAAATTAAAATCTTGTTTCAAGGGTAGTCCATTTTATCTCATATGGGAAAGCTATTCAGCAAATTTGCGGAAAGCAATGGTTTACACAATCCTTTTGCTTAAAATGATGAACTTGGCTGCGCATCTGTGGTCTTCAACTATCTCAAGTTTAAGCCCTACAGTGTCCACCACTGACCATGCACCAAAATTAGTCTAGTCTTTGGTCACCTTAAGTATTCCTCCACCAAAAAAGTAGAAACTTTATTGGAATGACTTAAAATCCATCAGACAAAAAAAACAACATTTATTGGACATGTTTATTATCTGGACTTCTTGTATATGTAATGGGCAATTTAGTGAATCACCTGTAAAAGATGGATGATTTTCCCGGATACTATTTCCCCTTTGTTAGTTCTTAGTTATAATTCCCCCCTTAGTTATCTTTCTCTACAGCAATAAGTTAGTTCTAATAATGAGCATAAGTCTTATTGGGGTGTTAGTGGCAGTGTTGGTAAAGGTTGTCGATATCAAACCAAGACTACAAAATACATTAAAAATTTAACATTTATTCATAAAAACATATAATAAAACAAACATCTAACAATTCTGATACTAATGATACTGAAGAAGAATCGTGTGTACTTTTTGCTTCTTATCTTTAATTTCCAGACAATTGTAATCAATTTTAATAGACTTTAATTTATTGTATCAAAGAAACAAGAGCACTGCATGCAATGTTAACACTCGTCTGTTAAGGGAAACCAAATTTGACCAAAAAATTTAAGTTAAAAAAGGGGCACACCTAAATAATAAATTATAGCTTTCAGAATTATGCCCCTTCTACAACAACTGCACTAAGTTATGGTAAGCAAGTATTCCACTTTTCATGCTGATAAAAGAATAAAGTGAAAACAAGCAAATTTGATGACTTGATAATCCCTACAAAAAACATAATTTTCCATCAATTCAAGGGCAATAACTCTTGAAATTCTTGGCAGATACAAAGAGAATGGCAGAAGACACATTTTCTTAATATTGATTAAGGAGCACTATAAGTTTAACTGGGAAATTCTAAGCTATAGATCTTGACTGACAACATATATGCACAGACAAATGGACTGACAGACAGACAGACAAACAAACAGAAAATGCCAAAACTATATCCATAACCATATTTTTTTTTGTCGGAAAATAAAAGCATTGGCACATTCATACAACATTTTCTATATCTACCAAATATATATATACTTTATATACTTTATTTATATATATATATAAAAACTATGCACTTGTATCTCTTCTATACAATACGATATAAGTCATTACGTTAGCGATGCAGAAATACTGGCGAATTTTGCAAGTTGATGAAAACGCTAAAATTTCCCCTACCGTAAATATCAACCAACCTGTCATTAAATTCTACACTTACACAATTCGCTAATATTTGTTGGGAATTTCAAATTTGCTAACTCTTCGACACGCTGAATAACCCACTTATACAGGATACATTCGTAACAATTTTTCATGACAAAAAGTTGAGATGATAACATAAACAAGTCGTCTCATTAGTACAATTTTGATGAAGACAGTTTTTGCAAATGTGAAATTTTTTGCAGTTTGATGTTCTAAAGAATTCATTCACTTAGAATAGTACAGTATTTTTGTTTAAAAGGAGATTCCAGTTCAAACATCACTTTGACTGGCAGCATAAGTAAAACAACCTTTAATGTCATTTTATAAATGACATCAAAAGACACTGACCTTGTTGTTGACGTAAAAAAACAAAAACAAAACCTGATTATCTCTTGAGATGTTGAAGATAAATATGATTAGGTAGGGATAAATGTATTTAGTATTTTTTAATGTTCCAAGAGCTAGAAAAACATTTAATATGTCATTTAACATAGAAGGAATGACATTTATGATTGCTTTGTCATGCCAGCAGACGTAACTGTTAAAGCAACTAAATATATGAAACAAAGATGACAACATAAGTTTTTGAATAGGTAAAGATGACTGTATTTCCTTAGTATTTTTCAATGTTCCCTTAGTATTTTTCAATGTTCCAAGAGCTAGAAAAACTTTAACAATTCACTTAAAATAGAAGGAACAACATTAATGACTGCTTTGTCATGCAAGATGTTGTAACTGTTAAAGAAACTAAATATACTATAAAATGGATGACAACAAACAGTCTTCAACCTACCGCTAGCGAAACATTCCCCCATAACTCGTACCAGTTCAGGTACATCTGTACCTATCCTAAAACAACATTTTCTAAAAAATATCCCCTACTATTACAATTAACAATCCTAGAATTGATAAAAAAATTTGCAATTCTATAACAATATATAGTAAAGAATAAAAATTATGAAGTGTCTTTAAAGCTACATGCCTCCAGATGAGTCAAAATATTTCAATAAAATCAAACTTGAGAAAAATGTACTAAAAAGTTAGGAAAAGTAAGTTTCAAGATTAAAGTAATATTTAACATGTAATGTGCGATTAATGACTGATTTTTTCAGTATTTACAACTATGTCTCTACTGCGTTACTAATGCAGTTAGGGCTATTTATGCATATTTCAACCACTTTTTGGTAATTTACTTAGTTTTTTAAAGCGCCATTGATAATGTGTAAATTGCTTCCTTTTGGTTACTTCACAATATTACACATTCAAATACATTTTCAAATTTTTTATGAAAATTAGCATGAATCTGGAGGCGTGCTGCTTTAACACAATATTTTGATAAATATGAAAAAATAATCACAAAGAGTGAGATAAATCTATACTATTATATAATCAAAAGATCTATGTGATTGAAATCTTTAATTACGGTATTCTGCGAAGTGTATCCAACTGTCACCATAAAAGGGGGAAAATGTGAAAGCAAAAATGTAACTCAATGGTCAAAGCTGCTGAATGGGTATTCCGAGGGTCTGTAAGGTTCGAGTTGTAATCATGAAGCAGATTTCTTTTTTCATTTAGACATATATTATAAATATAATTGCAAATAAAGAATTTAAAAGCTCTAGAGGTCATATGTTTTGCAAAAAGAAATATGGGAGAAAAAAATCCTCATCGCAAGCAAATTACACATAAAAGCACATATGAGACGCGTCACGACAAAACCAACATAGTGCGTTTGCGACCAGCATGGATCCAGACCAGCCTGCCCATCCGCGCAGTCTGATCATGATCCATGCTGTTTGCTTACCAACTCTATTACAAGTAGAGAAATTGATAGCGAACAGCATGGATCCTGATCAGACTGCGCGAATGCAACTATGTTGGTTTTGTCGTGGCGCGGCTCAAATCTGATAGAGATAATATGTAAATAGATAATGTATGAAACTGTTTTTGAACTCTTGAACACTTAGTGACTAACATTCATGTGAAAATAGGAAATTTGTAGAAATATAATAATTAAAAAAAAAATTGTATAGATAGAACAGCCCAAAAGCACCCACTTTCTTCAACTCTTCTTTTCTAATAGATACAACTATTTCTTTCAAGCAGTCAAACTTACAGAGGTATTTGATTTTTAAAGATTTCCTAAATCTGTATAAATAACACTTGTTTATACAAAGCAATACATTAACAGCTTTAAGTAAATCAACGATGAATTTTATGACCAAAAAATAAGATTTTAATTATCAGTCAAACATTTAACAATATAATGTACAATATTAATTTACAACAATTTTTTTATGAAAATTTTAAAATAAATGTAAATATTGCTCTTGATATATTGCAAAAAAACAACAACCCACCTTCATAACTGGACGGAATTGTTTTAAGTACATGTAAATAGCAATCTTCATTACTGGACGGAATTGTTTTAAGTACATGTAAATAGCAATCTTCATTACTGGACGGAATTGTTTTAAGTACATGTAAATAGCAATCTTCATTACTGGACGGAATTGTTTTAAGTACATGTAAATAGCAATCTTCATTACTGGACGGAATTGTTTTAAGTACATGTAAATAGCAATCTTCATTACTGGACGGAATTGTTTTAAGTACATGTAAATAGCAATCTTCATTACTGGACGGAATTGTTTTAAGTACATGTAAATAGCAATCTTCATTACTGGACGGAATTGTTTTAAGTACATGTAAATAGCAATCTTCATTACTGGACGGAATTGTTTTAAGTACATGTAACTATCACTTCGGTTCCAGGTTATGGGTTGATTAATAATCAAGGTCTTTTTTTAATGACTTTGTCAAAAAAAAATACTAAAAACAAGTGGAAGGAAAATATACAACTATATATGTATAGTCTTAAATTCATTCTACTTTTTCTCACAGGCAACCTTTTTTCACTGGATATGTCCATTCATTATGAATTGTTGACTTTATATAATGTATTAACATATCAAACAACTGTGTAGGAAGTTTGCTAAATGAACAAGCGCTACTTGATATATACATGTTAACTGGAATGTATGATTATTAAGAATTATCGTGGAATGTGTCTTATCGTAATTTGCGTGTGTTAGGTCTTGATCCCCTTCGCCTCCATGTGGTCTGTTAGTGTCCGCAATATTCTCTGAAAAATATATGACAAAATAAAGATATCCAATCAAATTATTTGAATTTTTTAATACTTTACTTTCAAGACAAATTGACTTGTCTTCTATCTTTGTTAATATGCAGTAACATACACTTAGATGAGTCAGGTTACATTCCAGCAGTGACCCTGCCGATCATTTCAACTGTAATACAGTGATTGAATATTTGTACATGTTTTAATTGTTGGGTTTTATGTCACACCAACACAGTATAGGTCATACGACGACTTTTCAGTTCAACTGTTGGGAGAAGACATCAAGTGCCCTTCTGTACATTATTTCAGGCACTAACTGGCACCCGAGTAGAACAACGTTCCATATGCTAGGTATATTTGTACATATTTTGCTATATCTATTGCTTTTAACACATGTACAAATACAATCTAATGAAAACAAGAAACATGGCAATGCCACGAAACCAGGTTTTCAATTATCACCATTGTAGATAAATATGTTGTATTTGAAATACAAATACAAGCAACAAACAATGTAACTATGTGCAATGTAAAACATGAATAATGTAGGAGGAATTGCCACAGAAGAAGTGTTTACTATATATTCTATATAAGGAAAAAAACAAAGGGCTATAATAAGGGCAAAAATTATCCAATCACAAAACCCCGACAATATGCACCAGGGCACTTGATAACAAAGCTTCTGTGAAAGTTTGAACAAAATCCGTTGAGAAATGTAGGACGAGTTCAGCACAGAAGAATTTGTTCACTATATATTGATAATTCTGTATAAGGAAAAAAAACAAAGGGTCATAATTAGGTCAAATATTATCCAATCACAAAACCCCGACAATATGCACCAGGGCACTTGATAACAAAGCTTCTGTGAAAGTTTGGTCACAATCCGTTGAGATATGTAGGAGAAGTTGCGCATGGTAGAAATTGTTCACTATATATTCTGTATAAGGAAAAAAAACTAAGGGCCATAATTAGGTCAAATATTATCCAATAGCAAAACATCAATAATATGTGCCAGGGCACTTGATAACAAAGCTTCTGTGAAAGTTTGGTCAAAATCCGTTGAGAAATGTAGGAGGAGTTGTGCACGAAAGAAATTGTTCACTATATATTCTGTATAAGGAAAAAAAACAAAGGGCCATAATTAGGTCAAATATTATCCAATAGCAAAACATCGACAATATGTGCCAGGGCACTTGATGACAAAGTTTCTGAGAAAGTTTGGTCAAAATCCGTTGAGAAATGTAGTAGGAGTTGCGCACGAAAGAAATTGTTCACTATATATTCTATATAAGGAAAAAAAAACAAAGGGCCATAATTACGTCAAATATTATCCAATCTCTAAACCACGACAATATGCCCCAGGGCACTTGATGACAAAGCTTCTGTGAAAGTTTGGTCAAAATCCGTTAAGAAATGTAGGAGGAGTTGGGCACAGAAAAAATTGTTCACTATATATTCTTTATAAGGAAAAAAAACAAAGGGCCATAATTAGGTCAAATATTATCCAATCGCAAAACTCTGACAATATGAGCCAGGGCACTTGATGACAAAGCTTCTGTGAAAGTTTGGTCAAAATCCGTTGAGAAATGTAGAAGGAGTTGCGCACAGAAGAAATTGTTTACGCCCGCCCACCCGCCGACATACCTCAATCTAATAACCAGTTTTTCCTTTGGAAAACCTGGTTAAAAATCCAAATCATTTACAAGTATGACCCAAAATAACGTAATATCATAATCGTGGTTAAATACACATGTATAGTGTAAACATGCAGAGATATATATAAAATGATCAATGTACGAGTATCTTGATCAATAACCTATGTTTTGCTGTTTTTGAATTTTTCTTTCTTTTTTATTCTTTTTTGATTCACAAAACTCATGCCTAGGATTATCCCTCTTCTTTTATAATCTTACAAACATTAAACATACTTTTTCTAACAAATTCTCATCTCTTCTGAGCACCCTAAATAATGCCCCCCGCCCACCCCCCATAATAAAAAGAAAGAAAAGAAAACCACTTCCAATATTCATTTCAATTTTTAGTCTGTGCAATCCACTAACCTACCTTCATGTATATGTATTAAGAAAATTAACTAATATACTGCGAATTCACCTATATTAGTCGGCATGAAATTTCGTGGTTTTATCAAAACGGGCATTTTCGTGGGTTTATAAATTTGTGGATTTTCAATTTCTTGTAAAAAAATAAAATAAATAACCTAATGCAAATTAATCTTACACTTAATCACCGCGCATTTTACTTACCGCATGTACATATTTTTATGTATCACACAGCGCTTGTCAATAAATTTAATCCTTGCCTCTGGGCGTTCATTACACAAAAATCGGCGGAAAAGCGCTGATGCATGTTTGTAATATATAGAATAGAGACATGGCAAGAAGTATTTGTTGAGATAAAATTTCGTGTGATCTTATATTCGTGGTTTGACCTACCCACGAAAATTCGCGCCCCGCGAATAATAATGATTTTACAGTAATACCATTTTTTAGGACTTTTCACTTTCATATTATAAAGCTCTTACCCTTTTTTCTATTGAAACTGCCATGTCATATGCTGTTTTACCATACTGAAAATATACAAAAAATATATTTTATAATCATATAAGATCACTTTCCTTTCTCCTTTATTTCTTTTAAATAAAAACTACAAATTACCACAAGATGTTGTCATACCATAAGTTAAACTGCACAATTTCAAATCACAATTTTGACCTATGTCACAAAACAACAAAAATAATTTGTGTACAAATTTCCATCTATTCATGTAACACATCTCATTCTAATTTGTGAACTTTTTCTGTTTTTCAATAATCTGCTTTAACCCATAACTCACTAGAACAAAAAGTGATTGACCATCTGTACAGGCTGAGAAGGCTCTAAACTGTTTGTATCTAAATTTTTGTATTTTAATATTCAAATACCTTATAGATATACTATGCTCAAGTTTGATATTAGAAAATATTGATAATTGCTACACAGTCTTTGTAAAAAAAATTAGATAAACATGTTTTGACTTCACACAAAGCATAAATGTTATGTTTAAAATTCTACACACTGTAAGTATCGCAATATGAATTTATATCGTGTCATTAAAGAAACTGGCAGTTTTTTTAAAGAAAATACCAACTTTACTTGACCTGTAACAGGGAACATGGCTTCTCATACATAGTTAAATAATTCTTTTATTCAAATTAGACAGATTCTATGAGAACTTCATAGATTTCAATAAATTACTGCTATAACAATATTTTACTTGTGGATAAGCATAGTACATCTTTAAACTTTAAATAGACTGTTTCAATTCAAGTTTTATTTCGCCTATTTGAAATCTTGATTTTAGTATATTTTACCTCATTTTTCAATTTTATATCTGCGTTCTTTTTTAGTAAAACCTCAAGAAGAGCTTGATGGCCATTTAATATAGATAACATCAGTGCCGTCTTCCCGTCCCTATCCTGCGCATTTATATCCGCATGATTCTGTAACAACGATACACCAATGTCACGATGACCCGACACTGATGCTGAAAATATAAGAATTAAGTGGTGTCATGTCTGAGGAGGTCCAGGACTTTTCATTAAACCGTCTGGTTTGTGACGTATGTTAAATTAGGTCACAAATACATTTGATTATTTGTTAAATATTTAAAGAACACCTGCATGCAAACTTTTTATTGTGTAAAAAAAGAGAATATGCTGTTTGTGATGTCTATGGTCTAGATACTACAACAAAATGATTTGCCCCTTAGACATGCAATTATTATTTTTTTTGATGTGTGTGAGTGTATTTATGTATGTATGTATGTATGTATGTATGTATGTGTGTGCATTTGTGTAATTTGCCCTTGCTGACCTGGTAAAATAACCAAAATACGCAAGCATTAATCATAAAGATGAATAATGAACATTGTTTCCCTATAATCTTCCAGCAAACATTTGTTTAAGTAACTGAAATTTTCAATGTGAATAAACAGATTACAATCTTAGCCAAAAATAAACATGGAAAATATTTGAAGAAATCTTAAGAAACCTTTGATGTGCTTCGGAATTTACAAAAACTAGACCAGAAATCCTCTCCCTTTCTCTTTTTATAGACAGGGCTAAGAAATATCTTATTGTAGTGACAAATCCCCTCATGAATTCTATCCAACACCTGAAGTGTTCCTAATACCACTTCAAACTGCACGAGATCTCCACCCGCTCTGTTCTATCACACAAATCAATATCAAATCTACTCGAGTTCAAATTTATAACGTCAAGGCTCAGCCAGCTTTTAACTTTTATCTTTATATCAACATGTAAATATTGGCACTATATAGTACTTCAAAAATTTTATTAGGTAACATTTCTTATAGAAAAAAACTCATTTCATAATACTTACACCACTTCAAAATTCAATGAACACATATTTTTTTATATAGGTGCTGTAACATTGGGACAATATTCCACTTGGAACCCATTAAAGCAAGTTCCAAAATATTTCATTGAACACTTTATTATAAAAATACAGTGGAATATAACAATTTAAAGTGTATAAATTTATATATAGTCGGCCTTTTGTCACAAATTGGTAGAATATTTGTTTATATTTCTATAAAAATCATACCAAAGTGCCTTAATTTAGGAAAAAGATCTTACTTTTGAGTGCATTGTTGTAGAATAATGTTCAATTCGAGTTTAAATGGGCTGGAATATAAACACCAAAACCTGAGTAGGCCTGAGTGATTAATTATAAATCATTTGAAGGATTAACCATACATTTTTTATACTTACAATGCAAGAAAAATTTAATATCCATTCCCATTTTACATGCTAATAGAAAGAGAAATGATAAAAATATCCAAAACAGCTCAATTAAACAGAGAAGTAATTTTGCTGATGTCATTTAACTTATTGACTTAATGATGTCATATAACGTGCAAGCACTCCATTATTATGCCTTGTATTTATCGTGATATATTAAACTTGACTGGTTTTGTATAAAAAAGACATGGTCCCTTAGGTTTATCTGAAAGGCAGGTGCATATTTCAAGAAATGTTACTGGACTGAGGTTGTTGGCGTCACTTTATGTAATCTGAGTGGGGTGGGGCTCATAGTGAAGCATTGTTTTTTTTCAAAGCGGCATAATTTTGTAACTTTTGTTTTGTTCTCTGTGAAATTTTCTACATGTGTTGTATAATCTATGCTGAATGTTGATTTATCTATGTTATCTAAATCATTATTGTTGTCTGCATAATATTTGATGGGCTCATAAAAAGACAATGTACAAGAACTAGCACTAAAACTAACACAACATAAATTGGTTGGGTTTTTTTCTTAAAGAAATTCATTGAATAATCTTCTGAAGGTCTTAAAATTTCATGTTTTCATTAAGCTGTAGATTTATCTCTGTTAGAGGAATAAAAAATTCATTAATTTATTACTCAATGTCAAGATTTCAAAGTTCAATTATTGAAGTTGCATATTTCACATTCCATGCTCTGTTTTTTTGTTTTGTTTTTCTGTCCAAAATTATCTTTTATTTTTCTTTGTGCACACCTGAAAGCCGTCTGGTATGCATTAAGAAGTAAAATTTTTCAAGGTCATTTATGAATGAAGGTCAAGTTTAGTTTGGTCTACTTGAAGATTTTGTCCCAAAGGTTGTTGTGGACAAGTATGAAGACAATACATCAAGAACTTAAAAAGTTATAATCAACATTAAAGTTTTGGGGACCGCAACTGGAAGGCAGGGATTACTGTAACGATACTTCTCTATTTTTTTCTTCGATAAAAAGTCAAGCAAAAGAACATTCAACAAGAGCTGTCGGTAGGACAGCATGCTCGACTATTCTTAGTGCTTGATAGTAAAAAAAATGCCTGATACAGTTACCTCCTCCTGTTTACAGGTTGGGGTCATGATGGTGAACAAGTGTGCAAAGTTTCAAAGCCATATGTCAATGGACTTTGAAAATATTTGCACTATTACAAAAACTTTAACGTAAATTCTAAGTCGAAAAAGGGGCATAATTATGTCAAAATGCTTGATAGAGTTACCTCCTCCTGTTTACAGGTTGGGGTCATGATGTTGAACAAGTGTGCAAAGTTTCAAAGCCATATGTCAATGGACTTTGAAAATATTTGAACTATTACAAAAACTTTAACGTAAATTCTAAGTCGAAAAAGGGGCATAATTCTGTCAAAATGCTTAATAGAGTTACCTCCTGCTGTCTACAGGTTGGGGTCATGATGTTGAACAAGTGTGCAAAGTTTCAAAGCCATATGTCTATGGACTTTGAAAATATTAGAACTATTACAAAAACTTTAACGGAAATTCTAAGTCGAAAAAGGGGCATAATTCTGTCAAAATGCTTGATAGAGTTACCTCCTCCTGTCTACAGGTTGGGGTCATGATGGTGAACAAGTGTGCAAAGTTTCAAAGCCATATGTCAATGGACTTTGAAAATATTTGAACTATTACAAAAACTTTAACGTAAATTCTAAGTCGAAAAAGGGGCATAATTCTGTCAAAATACTTGATAGAGTTACCTCCTCCTGTCTACAGGTTGGGGTCATGATGGTGAACAAGTGTGCAAAGTTTCAAAGCCATATGTCAATGGACTTTGAAAATATTTGAACTATTACAAAAACTTTAACGTAAATTCTAAGTCGAAAAAGGGGCATAATTCTGTCAAAATGCTTGATAGAGTTACCTCCTCCTGTCTACAGGTTGGGGTCATGATGGTGAACAAGTGTGCAAAGTTTCAAAGCCATATGTCAATGGACTTTGAAAATATTTGAACTATTACAAAAACTTTAACATAAGTGGTTACGCCGACGCCGACGCTCGGGTGACTGCAATAGCTCTACTTATTCTTATCGAATAGTCGAGCTAAAAACTGTTCTTACCACATCTAATTAATGGCGTCCACAATGAGTTTAAATCTCTGAGATTTACGTCTGCTCCATCTTCTATCATCCAATCAAGAAGTTTGACACACCCACCATCGACGGCCCAGTGTATAGGGGCGGATCCACCTCTATCAAAATCATCGTATTTTGCACCATATTTTCTTAAAATTTTCACGCATTCTAACTGTCCTGCGTAACATGCCAGCATTAATCTGTCGGTGAAATAAAATATATTTTTAAAAACATTTTGTTAATCTACAGAATTCTTAATAAATTTTAATAAACCCAGCTTTGAAACAAATTTGAAACAGTCCATTTAAAGGACTTCAGTATCAAAATCGATAAAAGTCTTAATGCTATTCTATTAAAAATTAAAAGGGGTATTATACCCCAATATATTGCTTTCAGAATTATGCCCTTCCTTAAACAACTGCACCGTGTCATGATAAACAACTATTCCAAGTTTCATGATGATAAATTTCAAAATGTTTGAATAATGGGCTACATTAAAAGTATTTCAAAATGAGGACGCCACAGCAATCATAATAGCTTGAATTTTTCTTCGAAACAGAGAAGCTTAAAAACTTTGAGCTACTAACCGTATACAGCCTGGTTTGGCTTTGAAAGGGTGACAAAGGCTAATCACTTTTGTTTCAAGCAGGCTGAAGGTTAGCAAAATTTAAAATGATGTTTGTTGGCGCACAATTTAGGTCACATGGTGCCAAAAGTTGGCTCACCTTGTGTGTAAGTAACTTACAAACTTAAGCAACTCCAGGGGTCAGAACCACCTCACCTGCTGGAGTTAAGAGATGCATAGACTACAGTTATTCGAACCAACCCATTTAGTTGCGTCATACGAACATGCAGGGATTAACGTAATCTAATTTATAACAAGAGCTGTCATTAGAAAAGTTCTTTTCTCAGACAGTGCTTGGTAGTAAAACTAAAGGCAGGATAATGTTAGAATTAACGTATTCAAGCTAGCAGGATAGCTATCTCACATGAAAGAACTCAAAGTTCCTGTAGGGATTCAAACCCACAGCATGGAGGAGCAAGTGGTTGTAAATACTGCTCTGATTTCATTGTTACAAGAGGAGAATCAAGTTTTTACTTACGCTGTTTTCCCGGCATCATTCCTAAGATTAACATCAGCACCATGTTTCAATAACAGCTCAACACAACTGAAACACATGAACATTCATAAATAACAATTATAACGAGTGATATATAAATTATTACTCTTTTCTAGTTGGGATTTAAGTTGCACCAATGCAGTATAGGACATATGGCAACTTTCCAGCTTTACTGGTGGAGGAAGACCTCAGATGCACTTCCATGTAATTTTCAAGGACAAACAGGCATCTGCGTAGAATCACTGATGTTCTGTAAGCTAGCTAGATAGCTTACTCACAGGAAAGAATCCAAAGTACCTGGTCTTCAAGTTATGCTCCGGACAAAAGAAAGCAATGGATAAATTACAAAGGGCAATAACTCTGTAATTACTTTAGATAGAGTTATGGTTCTTGTGCACTGCACTTCCCCTAATTTTGCTTGACCATTGTGTGAAGTTGTTTTGAATTCCAAATGGTAGTTTTTTCAAGTTATGCTCTGGTGTAAAAAAATCAACATTTCATGTATTTGAATTCTTTTTAATCATAGCACAGTTGTTATATTAGCAATGTCGATTCAATAACTTGCATGCAACAAAAACATTTAATTAAAACCAGATCTGAAATTGCTAACATATAATATTGATTCAATAAAACATTGTAAATATTTTTCAATATCAATATTTTCAGACAGAAAAGAATGCCCCCAAACATGTGAAAATTCCACAAGTCAATGTACTATATTCGAATAAAGAGAAAAATGATCAATGAGAAATAGATGTTATCCAGCACTCTGCAAATGTGGGTTTTTCCAAGCTAATCCCTCGGTAGAAATAAACTTTTACTGTTATAGCTGCACAGTGCACTACAGGTCACAATAGATTAGTCAACCCGAAGTGATGCACTTATTTTTGAAGCTGTAACTGTAAATGTTTGTTTGTACCCCCAGATTAGCTTGAAAACCCAAAATATTCTAAATTCTGGAGAAAGTTTATCATTATCTACTGACCTCTCATAACCTTTCACTGATGCCTGCATCAAGGGAGAGAATCCATACTTATCCGGAACATCTATTTTTACATCTCTGAAAGAAAAAAAAGTACATGTATCTCTTTCTCATATTTCAAAAATGAGCCGCGTCATGACAAAACCAACTGTCCGCTATCAGTTTCTCTACTTGTAATAGGATTTGTAAGCGAACAACATGGATCCTGATCAGACTGCACGGATGCACAGGCTGGTCTGGATCCATGCTCAGGTCGTAAACCCATTATGTTGGTTTTGTCATGACGCGGCTCAAATCATGACCATAATGATATAAAGTTATTGTTGCATTTGGTCTTGATTTCTAAAACAATACTTGTGCTAATTGTGCCTAGGGAAAGAAAAATGTGCATCCTCACCGGAATTCGAAACCCTCAGAATATCAATCTGCAGCTCATCCAACTCTATTTAACCTAACTATTACACCGTGACAATTGCAAACGAACACCAGTAAAGAATCTGTCCAGCTTAGACTGCCTGCAGTATGACCTGGTTCTATACAGTTGCTCAGTTTTTGTATATTTTGAAATTGAAATCCCTACACAGAAAAATGGACAGCTCCAAACTGAAAGCAGGTCAAGTCCATTACAAAAGTACAGGAGGGTAAGTGTTGTCAGAACTCAAAAATTAAGTTCAAACAGACTTGGGAAACATCATTAAAGTAGTCAGTGATAATATAAATGTCCCGGGCCATGACAAAACCAACTTTCTGCGTTTCCGACCAGCATGGATCCAGACCAGCCTGCGCATCCGCGCAGTCTGATCAGGATCCATGCTGTTCGCTTACAAACCCTATAACAAGTAGAGAAACTGATAGCGAACAGCATGGATCCTGATCAGACTGCACAGATGCGCAGGCTGGTCTGGATCCATGCTGGTCGCAAACCCATTATGTTTGTTTTGTCATGGCATGGCTCAAATGTTTTTACATAATTACTTGTATGTAATACATACACTTTACTTACATATATAACAGGATGTAAGAATTCAATTAGGCATATTGTGTAAAAAGAATGATTTAAAATTAAACAAATCACACATGGAAATGACTTCAATCACAACTGTACCAAAGGATGAATAAAGAAATTACAATATAATGTAAAGTTACCCTCAAACATTGTCAAAAATGTGAGCAGAGAAGATCTTAATATGAGTGTCCCTTCAAAAATAATGTGCAAAAAGCTCCATATCCCTTATTTTAATAAATCTTAATTTATGGATGGCTTCCTCCATGGGTTCAAACCCTGTCAGTGGTGAGCCATTGTTTCCTTGAGCAAGAAACTTTACACTCATTGCTCAGTACTGGTTGGTTCTGGGAACAGATTCAAGAGTGTGTCTTTAATCTTATAGCTTCCTACACAATCAAACTAAATAAATTCTGTATAAACCAATCTCTGTCTTTAAATATTTATATTTTATATACTGTATTAAGAATGATGTAAAATGATTCAGAATGTTTATGATACTGTTTTTAGTTAAAAATCACATTGTATTATGTAGGGAAAAGATGAGTGCAAGAAGGTCACAACAGCTGCAAATAACTTCATACATAGTCACAAATCTATACTACCTTGATGTACGGCTAAAAAACAATACATTGAAAAAATAGAAAACTTAAATACAACATGAATAAAGATCAATATTTTTCTTTCAAATTTTGGATTAATTTCTCACATTTCCCTTTTGAGTTACTATTGAACTCTGTCAGTTTTAGAAGTGAAAGTAGATTTTATCTTTTGAACCAACTTTTTACATTTACTTTTTCAGTTTATATTGAACGAAGAGAAAATACAAGTATTATGTCAGTCTTATGTCATCAGAATAGTCAGGCAAGCCTGGACATCTTCGTAGTCTGACAAGGCCCTTCACTGCTGGCTGCTCCGTTTCAATTAGAAATTCCCCTGATGCTAGCAATGGAATGTTCCAAATAAAAATTCAGTGGGGGAGGAAGGTGGTAAAACATTTCATTTTATAATGAAAAAAGAGACCATTTTGAAAATCTTTTATACTGTATTTATTTATTTATAACATATTTATTAAAAATATCTACAGCAAAATCTTGTAATGCACTAAAAAGTTTGACCTTTTAAAACCTCTATTTTTTTCATTTTCTTAATATATAAAACCATATACAAACTGTTACAACAAATATGAATAAATTCTACATAAAATTTTTGAAATAGTATGGGTGTAGTTTTTCACAAAGAAAGGTAGAATAATGTAATTTTAATATTATTTCAAATGCACATTTCCATTATTCTTTACAGTAAAGAATAAGATTACTTCTCTCTTTAAAAGAAAACAAAACACAACACCCCTCTCGATATCCAACCCTCTCCTCCCCGAAAACAATACAGAAAACTGTAGTTATGATCAAAATAAGTATCACATAAAATGATACACAAATGCAAGGCACAAATGCCTTTTTCTTTCACAAAAAATTTGGACATTAAATCAAAAACGCATAAAAATTAAACTTACACAAGAAATCACTGGGGAATAGAAAAAAAAAAAATTGCACTAGTTGACTTAATAGTTATATATCTATTGAGACACTTACCCACTTTCTATTATTTTTTCCAGCATCTCCAGATCCTGTCTGTTAAGTGCCTTGTGTAGATGCTCCCCATTCATTGGCTCTTCTGCCGGCGGAAAAGTGGAGAAAATATTTTTGAACATTGTCACACAATAATGATGATAATTTCCACAAGAAAATGTTATTATACAGTAATTTGCTAATTTACACTGATAATTTCAAGAGGTAAATGTTATTATACAGTTATAATTACTAATTTAACACTGATAATTTCAACAAGTAAATGTTATTATACAATTACTTGCTTATTTTTGTCAAGAATTACACTCTGCTTTTACTTTAAATTCTGACTTTATATTCAACACTTGTCTTAAAATATAAAACATTAATAAAGTCAACTGCCACAAGTCTAGGTTTTCAAATAACCAAGTCCATGTTTACTTTATTAACCTTGCTTTGAGCTTCTTAAAGAATAAAATAATATTGATAGAATTAATCACACAAAATCCCCATCAAATATTTTCAGAATAAGGTCCAAGCGATTTTAATGGATTAATAAGATAGTATTGTTATGTACATGTAATTTTATTTGACAAAACAGGGGGGGATTACTTTGTTATGACTTAATTCATAATGTAACATAACTCTTTGAGACAATCTTGATTGATTCCTCTTAATTTAATCTGCATAAAGGAACCAATCCTGCCATAAGTCAATATTACAATATAAAACGTCTTAATCTGATTAAAAAAACCATCATATAATTTGAACCCTATTAAACCGTTAATATAACAATACCAAATTAACAATAAAACAAGGATTATCTTAAATACAAGTACAGATAATACTGTAATAAATTTGTTAAGTAATATCAATTAAGTGCACAAAGGCATGGTTTGCAGGATAATATATGTGTATTAAAACAGGCATTCTTGTCATTATGACAATACAAAAATTAAAACACAAAATATCCCCTTAAATGAACAATAGGGGAATAAAAAACACCAAAAAATACCCATCGTATTTACAAAGTATGAATCACATACTAAGTGTGGTTTTTCTTCTTACAGATAAAATTTTAAGCATTTTTCTGCATTTTTTACAGACTTAAACATGTATTTGTTAATGTAATTTACAGTAAACTTAACATTTTTGAATATTTTTTGTTTTTGGAGTAACTTTTCAATTACTCTGCTGGAACCGAAAGTAATTTAAGCATTTGCCACCAGTTTAGTGCCAGGCCAGGCTGCACATCTGTGCAGTCTGACCAGGCTCTATACTGTTGACTGACTGACCTCAAATTTTCAACTATATCCCTTTAAATGATAGCAGACATTTCCAAAGTGGAAGACGGTAGAAATTCAACAGTGAGAGGTTTGATAGAAAAAAGCATTCAAAACCTATTTAAATTATCTACTTTATATTTCGAGGATTTGGCCGTGATAATGTGATTTTGTATCAACATTCAACTGGTACCAAAACAAATCTACAAAAAAACTTTCCCTGTGAAGACTGGATCATGATCAACCACAAGAACAGTTTGTTAAACAACCTTAACACATGAAATATGAGTAGGCTATTGGTAATATACGTCTACATTTTTTTTTTTCATTTTCGAAAATGACCTTAAGTTAGTACGATCCTGCCAAGATATTCCTAAATACTTGTCAAAAGTTTTAAAAATATACCCTAATGACTTTGACTTTTAGCCTAAAATTTCTCTAAAATCATTATTTGGTCCCTGAAAAATTTCTTTCAGCTGATCTTATAATACTTCCTTATAGCAATAGTTTTTATTGCTATATCAATATAAACTATTTATCTATCAAAGATATTTTTGTCCGAAAATTGTTTCACAATCCTTGACAAAAGGTTATCTTTCGATTAAGGTAAAGTGGATTTTAAAAATAAGTTTGACGTCATAATTGTCTTCATAACAACAGCAGCTGTCAAGATAGATTTATAATTCACATTAAGTCATTAAAAATATTTTAAGCGGATTTTATTTGCACCGAGGTCGGCACTTCAAATATTGTAAACCAAGGATTGTCCGCAAAACTGCAGTAATTTATATCATATAAAGAAGGACTTACAACAGTTTTGAGGTCAACCCTCAAAATATAAATTTTATGCAAGTGTCCTTAAATAATAATTATGTACTTTTTACTTGCAGATGTAAAATTTTGATATTTTAAATTGGGTATAATTGGATTTCAAAAAAAAAATTAACAAATGCAAAATGTCGTGCAGTGAAATACACACATGAAAATCTGTGGCAGCCATGTGTTTTTTTTTTCAAACTAAAAATAAAATCTTTTTTCAACTATTTCTAATTTGAACAAGGGTGCCATAGTCACAAAATACGCCCGTTTACGAAAGCTTTAGATGGAGATGGGGGCATTATGGATAAGTGTTATCTAGCAAGCAAGTTTTTATTCTTGGCACTGTGTTGTTAAATGAACCTTAAAACAAATCAGTAGGGAAGATATGCACAGGATGTGTGACCTTGACCTTGGTCGCAGGGACCTGAATTTTATGCACGGCACTCAGTCTCACAATGATGAACATTTGTGCCAAATTATATTGAAATCCCTCTATGCATGTAGAAGTTTTGCTCCAGACAAGCGTTTTTCTATGTCAGAGCTCTAACTGTGACCTTCACCTTTGACCTAGAGACTTGGTTCATGTGCAGGGCACTATGTCTCATGGTGGTGAACAATTCTATAAAGTAACATTAAAATTCCTCCATGCATGTAGAAAATATGCTCCGGACAACATCTGGATATTTAATCATCTCCAGTGACCTTGACCTTGCAAATATTAACCTAAATTAATTGTGTCACACCTGTAGTCATGATAGTTACCATTTGTGCTACAATCCATCAATAAATGATGACTAAATGGTCCCTATACACATCTTCAAATTTTTATCTGAACTTTGACCTCTATGTGTAACCTTGACTTTGGTCGCAGGGATCTGAATTTTGCGTGCGACACTCAGCCTCACAATGGTGAACATTTGTCCCAAGTTATATTGAAATCCCCCTATGAATGTAGAAGTTTTGCTCCGGACAAGCGTTTTTCAATGACCTCTAAGTGTGACCTTGACCTTTGACCTGGAGACCTGGATCATGCATGGAGCAATACATATCATGGTGGTGAACATTTCCATAAAGTATTATAAAAATTCTTCCATACATGTAGGAGATATGCTCCAGACAAAATCTGGATATTTCACCATCTTTAGTGACCTTGACCTTGTATATATTGACCTAAAGTACATGTGTCACAGCCGTAGCCATGATAATGACCATTTGTGTTACAATCCCTCAATAAATGATGATTAAATCGTCCTTATACACATCTTCATATCTTTATCTAAACTTTGACCTCTATGTGTGACCTTGACCTTGGCTGCAGGGACCTGAATTTTGTGCGCGACACTCCGCCTCACAATGGTGAACATTTGTGCCAAGTTATATTGAAATCCCTCTATGCATGTGGAAGTTTTGCTTCGGACAAGCGTTTTCCAATGAGCTCTAAGTGTGACCTTGACCTTTGACCTAGAGACCTAGTTCATGTGCGTGACATGGCTTCTCATAATGGTGAACATTTCTATGAAATTTCATTAAAATCCCTCCATGCGTGTAGGAGATATGCTCCAGACAAAATCTGGATATTTCATCATCTTTAGTGACCTTGATCTTGTATATATTGACCTAAATTATATGTATCACAGCCATAGTCTTGATAATGACCATTTGTGTTACAATCCCTCAATAAATGATGACTAAATGGTCCATATACACATCTTCATATTTTTATCTGAACTTTGACCTCTATGTGTGACCTTGACCTTGGCCGCAAGGACCTGAAACTTGCGCGCGACACTCCGCCTCACAATGGTGAACATTTGTGCCAAGTAATATTGAAATCCCTCTATACATGTGGAAGTTTTGCTCCGGACAAGCATTTTTCAATGAGCTCTAAGTGTGACCTTGACCTTTGACCTAGAGACCTGGTTCATGTGCGTGACACTGCTCCTCATAGTGGTGAACATTTCTATGAAGTTTCATTAAAATCCCTCCATACATGTAGGAGATATGCTCCGGACAAAATTGGACGCCGCCCGCCCGCCCGACCGCCCGCCAGGGGCGTTCCAATAATACGTCCCGTTTTTCAAACGGGCGTATAAAAATGAAACAAAAAGTAAACATATAAGGGAGGCCAAATAACAAGAAATTATTTCCCCAGTTGTGAAAGAAATAATGTAAGGCAAAAACTTGGTGACTGTTATAAAAAAAATCAAATATCAAACTGAACAAAAAACCTAAATCTTAAAACTAAAGTGCTATATGACAAATACTAACTACATGTATAGACATTTGTCATGTACTAAAGAGCTCATGCCAAAAACACCAAATCATTTGACATTTAAAAAAACAAAATTGTCAAATATAAAGTTCAAATGCAGCATGTTTTCTAAGTGAATAAAAAAATCATTTTAACAAACAATGTTACCAGTCATCTGAAATGCTGCTTTTTGTTAAGTATATCTGATTATCATAATATTATTTATCGGTAAATTTGGTTCTCCATTTTTTTATATTTTAGTCATCTTTTGAACAGCAATATAGTGTTAAAAAAAACGTTTCCTTTAAAAATATGAGACATAAATCAAATTTTATAATTCTTTCTTCTTATTAATTTTTTTCTTTTATGTTTGGATGGACGTATATTTTCATCGCATGAACTTTTCAACGAGTATAAAACCAGATAAGTTTGTAAAATCAATAAAGCTGATCACTATGACAGTTAGCAAGTTTAAATGCTTTTTGAGAAGTAAATGTAAATAAACCACTTTGAAATAATGTCCAGTACATGATAAATACTATAAGTGTCATGTACCTTGGGCTGTCAAAACTGATCCTAACTCTTACCCTACAGGAATCAAAAGTGATTCAAGCCTTTGCCAACAGTATAAAGGATATTTGTGCAATCTACAGTTAGCTGACCCATCTTATCAATTTTCATTTTGATATCCCCGATATTGATGATGGATTGCTCCAAAAACGGAATTTGGACAAGTCCATTTAATTCATTCCTGGTAAGGGGGCCATGACCCATCCTGGGATTTGGCTTTATGCATAAAATATAACAAAACATCAAGATCTGGATAATTAAGTTATGGTTTTTTGTTTTTAATAATTGACTCATACCCCCCTCCCCGCACCTGCCTGCTTCTCAGCATGGAGAACTTGTTTTGAAAAAAAAAAAACCACAAGTTGTATCACATGTATGTATGTCTATAGTTTCTAAGTCTTTCATAAATTTGCTTGTGGCAACACAGAACTTTTTTTCTTCAATATTTTACACAGAGAACAACAAAAATGTGAGACATAATTTAAGACAATATTCATACATGTTTAAAATGATTACCAAAATTACAAACAATAGTACAAACTTACTTTCAAGTTCTGTTTAAAAAAGTTACTGAACAAATTATTTACGTAAAAATTGGCAATTAACTAAAGAGAAACCCAAAATTAAAGAATCTAAAACACATTTTTTGCACTCAATACCATAATTAATAAAAGTTTCAATATAGATCTTAGGAAAGAGAGGAGGAGGTCACATTAACTAAGAAATTATCATTTTGAAATTTGCATACTAAATTGAATGTTCTGGAAGGAGGCAGAGTAAAGGGTAGGAGGGGCTTTTGTTTGAGTCACACCCACATACTTTTAAGGTAAAATAGCAACTTTTCAGCTTTTCTGGGTGGCGGTAGACATATGGTGTCCCTCTGTGCATTGATTAATCCATGATTTGTACATGTTATAATTATCATACATAAATCACTTATGGTCTAAAGAGACAACTTACAGTCTTAAGAGACCACTTATGATCTCTAGAGACCACTTATGGTATAAAAAGACCACTTATAGTCTCAATAGACTACTTATGGTATAAACAGTCCACTTATGGTCTTATTAGACCACTTATGGTATAAAAACCACTCATGGAGACCGCTTATGGTCTAGAGACAATTTATGGTATAAAAGAGACAATTTATGTTCTAAAGTTACCACTTATGGTCTAAGAAGACAATTTACAACATATAAGAGATAACTTATGGTAAAAAGCGACCACTTATGGTCTATAGCAACCACTTATAATCAATAGTCACTTACTTGTTGTTGAGACTTTAACATGAGCACTCCAGTCACTGTTGCCCGCACTGTTCATCATACGCATTCTGTACTTATATTCCGACTGAGGGTCCAAACCGGACACTGTGTGCCGCTTTGCATAGCCCCTGAAATATATCAAATTATATTCCTTATTATTTTTACAATATCTTATAAGTAAAATTTCAAATACAATAAATGTCTGCAGTACTGAGAAATGTTACTAACAAAGATTTTACTCTTCTAAATTCATACAATATACCCATGTCTTACACTGAACTGCATGGCCTACAGGAAGCTATGCCACTGATAGTGTCATCCTGTCAGGTATAACAATATCAAAACTGAACAGTGTAGCCTGTTCATTATATTTTAGGGTTCAGCATGGCAAATTTTAAACCTTAAGCTAATTATTTTTCAATCTGGACAAAACCATTCATCAGTTTTAGAGAAAATTTAAAAATTAAGTACTTTGGTTGACTAGCAAACAATGCAGACCATGATCAGACGGCACAAATATGTTGATGATCTTGATCAGTACAAAAGGAAAAATTGCATAAACAAGGGTAAGTATCGACAGAATTTTAAGATTGTTTTGGGTTGATGGGTTTTTTTTTAAAAAAAAATATGTGTTTCAAAACCTACTTGTACTAAATTGCTTTCTAGACCATAAAAATGTTACTGTTTTGTGAAATTATCCTTGATTATTCAGTACGTAAAGAGAAAATCAATGCATTACTACTGCATGCAGGGTAAATTGGGCGACTGTAAAATAAAAACAGCTATCTCAAATCAATAGACCGCCTATAAACAGAATTTGATTACCTGTAATTTGCATGTACAGATTTTTAGCATTGTACTGAGCTGTAAATACATGTAACACTGATTTTCCCTATCAATCAATATACAACCAATCTCAGTAAAAAACTTCTCTCAAAAAGTTACGTTTAAAATTTTATCTTTAGTTTGAATATAATTGTTTAAAAGCCAAGATTTTGGGTAAATTTTATGAAGTTTATTTGGACCCGAGTTTTATGTCCATTTCTCTGAACAATACAGGTTTCTAAGCTCATTTTCAAATCCCAGGTATTTAATTGGTCAGAAAATGGCAAAGAATGTACACTGGCCAATGAAAAGTCTTCAGTGATTTCCCCTTTTACCAATTTCTTTTTATTTAAAAAATATGTTTATGTGAAGGCAATGTTTATAGTTAAATAAAAATGCAACAGAAGAAAAACATGTCAATCATTTACTATGATTGTTGCCAAATTTGCAGCATTTTGATAGATTCTTATACATTTTATTATAACCTACTTTGGGAGTATATACTAAACTTCTAACACATCATTGTGCATTAATTATGTAACAGAATTTGCAGAGAATGTCTACAAAAATTTCATTGGTCAATTGCAGTACTAACATGTTTTCACTGGTCAATTTCCGATCTTAACTTAAAATCAACCAATCAAATCCAAGTTTTTGTAACTGTTTTCAAATGCAATGTTTTACTGCCTTAAACCTTAGATCTATATTGCTTAAAAATCAATCACAGATCAATCACATTATTGATTTTAGGTTAGAACTGTTTCTTTATAAATGGGTATTAAAACAGTTCATTGATGTAGCCAGACACATTTCCTCGCATTTTTTTCCCTGGCCCAATTAGTTTCATAAGACGTAATCAATTAAACAATCAGGTATAATGTTGTCGCGTCAGCGCTCGAGCAAATATTTCTGTACAAAAATAGGTAATAAATCAGCCTATTAACTTTATATGGACAATCTAGTAGAAAGATATAACACCAGCTAAACAGAGACTTATGGCGAGAATTTGTAGACCAAAGTCTTGTAACGGGCATGTTGAACCACTAAGTTAAATCAAGGTTAAAATCAAGATAACTATTAAGAGACAGGAAAATTGACACAAAACCTGATTTTCATTCATCAAGATAATGATTCAGACACAAAAGATGTTATCCGGAACTTGGCAAAGGCGAGTTTTCCCAGCTAATCGTCGGTACAAACAAACTTTTACCGCAATAGCTTCACAGTGCAGTGCTATATGTACCCGTCACAATAGATTTGTCAACCTGTTGCACTTATTTTCGTAGCTGTAACAGTAAAAGTTTGATATAAGACTACCCAACTGTAACTGTAACTACTGATTAGCTGGGAAAAAAATCCAAATTCAATCAGTATGGAACCAGGGTCCAAAGTTATAAAAAAAAAATTCTCAGCTCAAACTCAGTTCTCAGATGTTCGATTGGTCAGAAACCAGCACAGAATGTATAATGACCAATGAAAATCACAAGATTGTTTTATAATCTAGAGGACTGGACAAGGCAATTCTCACGTTCATAAAGTCTTGGGAATGCTCAATAATACTTTTCTTGATGTTGAAATCCCTTAATACAGAAATTGACTGTTCCAAATACAAAGAAGGACAAGTTCATAACAAAAATTCAGAGGGTTTTGGTTAACAACATTTAAAAGCTAATAAACAATAAAAACATCAAAAAGTTTTCATTCTTTTCAAAGGGAAACATCTTTTAAAATATGTTTTTGTACAACAAATATACATCTAGTAACATTTGAATATAAAATTTAATTCAAATGGTATACATAACTTATTCACAGGTCCAACTGCAAATTGATTTTTTAAACACAAATTCAAGTGGCACTTATATTTCTGCATGAAATCTTAAAATTAAACATTCGCCTTGTTTACAGAATTTCGGGCTTACATGCACATATTCAAGTTTTAAACTGAAAAATAAATCATAAAAGTACACTTGTATATTTACTTATTCCATTTTGACAACATTAAGTTAGACATTCAATACAAACTTTGAATAGACAACTTGAGTAGAAACCCAAGACACCTAGATATTGGAGCCAAAGGTCAGGAATACATTACAAAAACATATCTTCAATTATCAACATTCATCCATTTAAATTTCAAAAGAAATCTATTATAAAGTTTGTTGTTAATGAAAAATATAGAACATCTTGCATGGCAAGTAATTTTTTTTTCATGATGGGCAAGAAAAAGAAAAGAAGATAAAATACTCAAAGGATTTGAACAGAATGATGTATCTGTTAGTGTTTGAATAGCTTGAATCATCTCATAATAATCAAAATCTACAGTGGTGGTCATGTGGCAATGCATCTATCTTAATTTAACAAAAGAGTCATTATGTACCAAAAATTAGAATTCAAATCACCAAATTATTTTTTTTTAATAACATTGACAGCCTACCCCACATCCCTCCCTGCCTTTCCTGAAGATTCGGGCAGACAGACCTTAAAACCAGCAAATCCCTGGTAAAAAATATGAATTTTATCACCTGCAAAAGTTTCCTTGGTGGTGGTTAAAAGGGAGATCTCCTAGGAGCAATGACAGTAATAGTAAAAAGCTGCAAATTACAGACTCAGTTGATTGAGTCTATATTTGATTGAGTCTATATTCAAGTAGGAATTTGGTGAGTAGAAAGGCGAAAATTAAAACACAGCTTTGACTTATCAGCATGAGGACAGAGCTTCAATAGGTATCAAACATGGCTCCTTCTAGAGAACAAATCCTATTAACTCTGAGCTAAGTAATATAATTATACCATTGCAGTACAACTTCCGGTTCAAACTGTCATAGGCCGAGCAAAAATTTAGTTTGATCAGAACCATTACCAGGTCTTTTACAACTTCTAAAAATCTTGGTTGACAAATCTTCAACAATAAACAATTATGTCTATAGCTATACAATAACAGGCATTTGAAAGGGTAACATTCATAGAGATTAGCAGAAAGTGTCACACTGTGTGTATATGTATTGACTATTCTATGCTTAATGAGAGTCCATCCGCCTTTTAAGGCACTGAGACTACAGACCACAGCCAGAACAAGTAGCAGAATGAATTTTTGGTAGATTTATTTTAAATGAAAAACCTCCTACTGTCAGGGGATAAAACAAGGGTTAAAAATTTGGACTCAGGCCTCACCACAGAGATCAATTTATCCTGAGTGGACTTACTGACGTTTTGTTGATATAATCAAATGTCCATTGTGAAAACTTCTAGTAAATACATATACCAATCCCATATTCCTTAAACAGGAACTGAATATCAAAGTCAAACGGACAAAAATCAAAAGTTTAATCTTACTTTCTAAGTGGCCAGCGATTAATGCAATAAACATGGACTTCAAGTAGACTACAAATAAAGAAAAGCGGACTAAGCTACTGTACAAATACCATACTGATCCAACCTTAGATTCCACATGCTTTTCTTTCACCCATGTCAATGTAAAATGATTTCAAAACAATCAATAGATAAAAGTGACACCTTCAAATTCTGCTTTAAGTTATTATCAACTTATTCATAATAATTTTGTTATAGAAAGAGAGAATTGACCGCTATGCTGAAGTAGTCAGCATAGATATTGACTGGGCAGTTTTGACCCTCTCCACACTAAATATGTTAAATGAACTTGTCCATCTTTCATTCTAGCCAAAACCATTTATCATTATTTAAATGGACTAATGTCCATCTTTTATTCTAGCCAAAACCATTTAGCGTTATTAAAATGGTCTAATGTCCATCTTTCATTCTAGCCAAAACCATTTATCAATATTTAAATGGACTAATGTCCATTTTTCGTTCTAGACCAAACCATTTATCCTTTTTATGAAAATTTTCAAAAAATATGCAGTACTGACTAAGTAGGGAACAGTGCCGACCATGTCAGATAAGATGGCACAAATCTTGGTCTGCATTGCTAACATGGGTAACATTAGTTCCCACCTGAGCATGCAGACTATATATTACGGGGGAAAAAATCTGAAGACGGTAACATCCTTACTTAATAAGGAACCAAAATGATAAGCCTTTGAGACCAGTATAAAACCAGGCTATAATTCACATTTGCACAGTATAACTGTCGGGTGACATAAAATTTTCTTCCTGATATCCCAAATATTGATAATAGACAGTTCCAGAAATGGAAGCTGGACAAGTCCATTTCCATTTATAGAAATTCAGCAGGTCAAGGGTTGAAATAGTTTAAAATACCCAATTGGTCTGGACAATAAAATTTATTTGACAGAAGAATAATTATTTTAAAGAGTTTATCAATC